GTATTTGGGTCAGCTTGTGCAGCAATTTGCCAGAAGAATTGTCGAAACAAAAAATGTGTATTTGTCAATTGTGTGGCAGTTTGTTTATATCTACTCGTATATATTTGCTTTTCGAATTTTATGCTGACTCATTAGGAACAAGCTGGTGGGATAAATGCTTTTATGCTTTTAATTGGCTTTTAATTGTTGTTGCAGTTCTGTTTTGCATTTCAAGTGTTTGGCGTTATTTAAGCTTTGCACGTTTCTCGCTTTGTTTGTTGTTTTTGTTTTTGTTTTTTCTCCCCGCCAGCTCATTAGCTTAATAGAGTTTTCGGCTGTGGCCGCTAATGAAGCATAGTTTTGGGCGCCTTCAATTAGCAATGCTGACTTTTTTTCCCGCTGCGACCATTAAATCTAATGGCAGTTGCTTAGATACAACAACAGCCAACAGCCCCACAAGCGCTTCAAAAATGTGCCAACAAGCAGTGCCAACCAATGGCCGGATATATCATTTTGACCAAAAACCGAGCCAGCAACAACCAAAATACCAAAAAAGTTTCGCAAAAAAAAAGCAAAAAGTACGCAGTATGTTGGCAGAACCTGCGGTCACAAAAGGGCAGTAAATTAAAATTTACCCGACATGAAATTGAAGTGCAATGTATTTTTCATTCCTTTTCAGTTTTTCTTTTACCGCAGCCCTACCTTTTTCTGGTTCATCGCATTGCCCTACTATGGCACTACTTGGCATATGCGTGGCAATAAGTTAATTAGACCCACAAAGTGGGCACAGAAAGGTTGTTCAAGTTTTACAAATTCTACAAAATAGAAATGTCTATTTTTTTAATTTTTAATATAGGTAGAATTTATTAAGGTAACGAACGCTTTAAAAAAATTAACAAAAATAAAAACACAATCCAAATTTTAAGAAAAGCTTTTTTACGTTAAACTTTTCGATTGTAAAGGTAGTTTAAAAAAAAAAAAAAGAAATTGAAGAAGATCTAATCAAATATAGATGGAATTTCCAAAAATACAAAACAATTTAGTTGCGGAGTATTTCTAAAATGTTTAAGATTTTAAAATATATTAAAATATATAATCAAATATAGATTGAAAAATACAATACAATTCAGTTGTGAAGTATTTCTAAAGAGTTGTAGATTCGAAAATATTAAAATATATAATCAAATATAGATTGAATTTCCAAAAATACAATACAATTCAGTTGTGAAGTATTTCTAAAAAGTTGTAGATTCGAAAATATTATGTTATGATTCGTGAATTTCTTTTTCAATTTGAATTTAATATATAATATCAATCTTTTCCGAAATGATTTCACAAGTCCTTCAAGCAAAAGCGTAAAGCGAACAAATATTATGAATCCTGTTACACAAAATTCACAAATGTTTTGAAACGTATTGGAACGACTAAATATATATATATATTTCAGTCGTTAATTCAAAGCTTAATAGTATGGTAAAACAATTTGCATACAAATTTGTGTTATTTTACAAATAGACATTAAAAAGTAATTCGCAATGAATTTTGTAGCAGCAGAAAATTATATCTAAGTACAGTTAGTTAGTTAGTTTTTGAAATAACATTACATACGTGCAGAATTCGACCAGTTTGTGCAAATTACTTGCCCGTCTGACCATAGCTTAGGTCCTCTAAAAAAATCTATTTTTATGTTTAAAGTTTCCTTTGCAGCGTCTTCTTTTAGAATAACACTCATCTGAACATATTTTAAAATTTTTGTTTCAAAAGCGAATACACTTCGTAGTGCCATTAACTGTCAGTGCATTCAGTCGGCGTTGTTGCCAGCCTTGGGTTTATTGCCTGACACCCCAGGCGGTTTTATTTGCTTTTTGACTCAATGCCTCAATGTGCAGTTTGTTTTTTGTGCGCCACCGCTTCCCGATGGGCTCGTATTTTACGTTTAAAGTTTTACGTTTCCCCAAAACTGACATGGAAAAGCAGATTTTCGTCCTTCCTTTTTTATTTAGATGTGCAGGCAAAGGCCGCTGGTCGCTGTCCGCTGGCCACTTTGCAGGCTGCGGCTTCCAGCATGCAAAGATTAAATGGCAGAGAGAATGCAGCTTAAGTTTAGGAGACGACCAATGCGGCGCCATTTTGTTTCAATCAATTATCACGCCGCTTGTTTTGGCAGCCATTTTGTTAGCGAAATCACCCCTCGCCGCACTGACAGCCGCAATTTGCCGTTAAACGGCAATTTCCGCAGCGATTATTCACGTTAGTTGCAGCCACAAATATACAAAATACAAAATAAAAACATACTAACTAAAAAGCAGAGCTAAGCCAGATAAACGGAGGCGGAAATACTCTCTTATTTTTTGATGGAAAGGTTATGTAGAGTTTATTTTCGTTACACTTTTGATTGCTAAAAAAGGTACGCCTGATACCCCGAATACCCTGCAACTAAGCGATAAAAGGGTATATTTCTTTTATATTCTCTGTTAACTTTTAAGATTAATGCGTGTAAGTATTCAACATTTTCAATTAAAAATGTAGGGATGGAAATTTTTGGATTCCAAAAACCGAGTGAAAAAAGTTCATAAATTAATTGCTTGATCGTTCCAAACATTGTATTGGGTTAAATGGTTTATATTTTAAATATATATTAGCTTTGAAATAAATGTATAGTAATACCAGACATGTTTTATTCAATTAATAAAAAGGTCGGCTAGTTTTAGATCACACTGTCCATACTACATCGAATAACTTTATTTTCTTCTCTTCTGCCAATTGTTGCAAACACTATCAGGATGGTAAGGGTATCAGAGTTGGGTTGTGGAGCCAAGCATTGCAATTAAAAACAGCCGTCACAGTATTTAGTCTATATTTTATTTTTATTTGCTTTTCGCTTGCTATTTTATTTTATGGCATATTTTTTGACACTTTTTTGGCTTTTTCTCGTTTTGGCCAACAAATATTTATGTAAGCGGCTGCAGTTTATTTGTCAAACTGACATGCAGCTGTCCCGTTCCAGCGGATTAGAAAGATTTATCGCACAGATGCAAAATAACAACAGCAACATTTTTGCAGACATTTTTCCCCATTTTTTATGCCGTTGTTAGCGCAAAATATAGGTATCAACATACTATAAATTCGACATTGAATCGGTTTTTTGCGGACTAGGGATACTGGTTATTTTAAAAAGATGTTGCTTTAAGTTTTTGTTTTAATGAAAGGAGTAATGAGAAAAGTTGACGCTTTTTATAAATTCATATTTCAGCGACTACATAGATGTTTGAAATATTCATACGAGTATACATATCTTTGTGGGTTCATATGTAAGTAGACTTTTATTTTTTTAAATTCAGGAAATTTAAGAAATAGCTTTTTAACTGCTAATAATTAAAACCTGGTTTGAGGAATTGTATTTTTAATTTTTTTTTAAATTACTAAAAATTGCGAAGCACTCGTTCTTTCTGCAATTGTGAGAAGAAAATGTTTATATGAAATTATCACAAAGAAAATCAATCAGTTTTTTTTTTATCGAGGACCAAATTTTATAAAAAACGTGTTTAAATATCCAAGTTAAATGCTTCTATTCGGTATTTCGAACCATTGTTCTGTTCTCATTGTATTAAGCTAGAGATGTGTTCGCATTTAGATATTTCAGTTCTTACCAAGCCTTTTAACTAATCGAAGTGGTTGTACTCACCTGTGTTCTTTGTACTATATATGTCCTTGTTTATTGCATCAACAATTCGCTTACCAACGAAAACAATTGTTGCACGGAAATTTAAAATTTAATCCTGGCAACAAATTCAGCTCCTTAAAGAAAGATTGAAAATTGTTTACAAATTAAAATAAATTGTATATTATATTATTTATATTAACAAAAGAAGAATAGAAGAGAGAATAAAAGAGAAAAAAGAGAGAAGAGAGCCACATCCTGTTGTTACCTGACCAATTGATTTAAAACAAGAAAGGAATGCTAAAGTCGAGCAGGCTCAACTCTTAAATACCCTGTACCACCCCACAAAAAATAAATTTAATTTAATTAATTAATTAATTAAATTAATTTAATGTATCGGAGAAAATGAACAAACTCGTCCTTTCTCGGGCTCAGGAGAATCTGTATACCAAGTTTGGCTATTCTAGCTCTTATACTTTCGGAGATCCTTGCGTTCATACAGACAGACGGACAGACAGACGGACGGACAGACCGGCGGGCAGACGGACATGGCTATATCGACTCGGCTTGTCATGCTGATCAGGAATATATATACTTTGTGGAGTCTGCCACGCCTCCTTCTGTGCGTTACATGTACACTCGCACAAAACTAATATACCCTTGTACCCTTTGGGTACAGGATATAAAAATTATAAATATACAATTTAAAAAAGCCTTAACTCCTAGTTTAAGCTTTAACTGTATTTTTCTTTAAGTTTAATTCAAGTAATTGTAAATATTAACAGTACATAATTGCAGTATAATTTTTTTGAAACGATTACAAAACGTTTAGAAAAGGCATACGAACGATTTGCAAATCCATAATTTTTTGAAAATAAATGTTACGAGAGCTGTGCCGCTCTTAACCCGAACAGTGCTGCGAACCCAATCGTGCTGAAGTTCTACATGTGTTACAAATTTAATTTGCTTGCGCCAATGGGAGCATATCCTTGGCAGCTGCACTTTCCGGCGACGAAACGTCAGCGTTGTGTTCGAGTTAATTGAATTGATGCATTGTTTGGCTTTGGCCCCCTAATAACAACAACAACTGCAACAACAACAATATGTAAGGACAGGCATTGGCAACAGCACTGCATGGCATGTATTTCATATATTAGTTATTGATTTCCCAGGTTGGACTGCAGACAAACACAACTGAGCAAACATACATACATACATACATATGTATATTTGTTGGCTAAATAGCTCGACAGCCAAATTCGCAATTAAAGCTAATGGCCAGACAGGCACTTGGCTTACCCTAACACTCTCCTCCTGGTTTTACAATTTTAATTAGTGATCGAGAATTGGGAAAACATTATTTAACGTTTATCGTTATTTATTTCACATAAATGTCTGTATTCCTCACACATAATCGAGGCTCAGTAAATAATTGCCAATTTTGCTTCAATAGGCGTTACATGATGAACAATTTAACATTATTTAGGGCTTATTATTCTTTCATACATATGCCTTTCAACATAGTCAGAAATCAGGCAATCAATCAATTAGCTACTGATTTCTTTTATACTCTACATGATTGTAAAATGTATTATTATTTAGTTAATAACTTCATGTGCTTCTTACATAATATGATAACATTTCTTTTGCAAGAGTCGAAATTGGGGAATTACTTCAAACATAATCAGACGTTAACTTATTAATTTTAAGTTATTAATATATAGAATCCATACATAATAGAAAACTAAGTATTTTTTGTATAAACCACATTTAAATTTAGGAATTCATTTCCATTTCATAATCCACAGCAGATAGAGAGTTAAACATTCTTTACTTATGGCTAAAATACTCCACACATAATCGGGAGCTTACTATTAACGACTTCTTACTGCATATATAGTTTCATATTTTGGAATCTCAACATTATTAGTTGTTTCCTTTGACAATGTTCGCCTTAAAGATTATGTACTCCATACATAATAGAAAACTAAGTATTTTTTGTATAAACCACATTTAAATTTAGAAATTCATTTCCATTTCACACTCCACATCAGTTCGAGAGTAAAACATTCTTTACTTATGGCTAAAATACTCCACACATAATCGGGAGCTTACTATTGACGACTTCTTACTGCAAATATATTCGCCTCATAGATTATGTACTCCATACATAATAGCGGGCGCTTGATGTAGCTTAAAAATTATAAACAAATCAACTCAAATTCTTGCACACCGATCGACTGCAGCACGGCTTCTCATCATCATCAACCGCTGGCGGTTCAGTTTCTTGTAAAACCGCTGGCTGTTCCACAGCAACGATGGCTGCATCCACATAGTATTGTGGCGGCAGTGGTGGTGGTGGCGGCGACGATGAGGGCGAGAGTGTTGGGGACGAGTCCTCAGTCGCAAAGGAAGAGGTGCGGCGGCGCAGACCCGCTGGCGGAGAGTTAGGGTGCGTGGTAATTTGTGGCAGTCCCAAGGCCGTCACGGATCCCACATACTGCTCCTCGTCGCTGTCGCTATCGTAGAGGAACTCCTCGCCACCCAAATCGATGAGCAGGCGGCGTAGGTTGCGAAGCTCGTCGTGGGCGCGCGAAACTTTGCGTTCGAGTGCCTTCATCTGGGACTGCGGTATGACCGGGCAGCCCAATGCGTGCAGAATGTGCATTAACGGATCATCTGGTGGCGGCTCAATATCCGCCATTTGCTCCAGTATCTCCAGCAAACGTGGTAGCACACCTGTATCCATCAGGTATTGATTATTTTCCTCTTCAATTTCCGACATTTTCAACAGCGATCGCAAAATGTGCGTAACTAAAATTTGTGGCTGAAAAATAACTGTAGATCGCATATGGGAACGAATCACCACCTAGTGGCAATAACTTGTACTACGTGCACACTGCACAACACTGACGCGTATTTACTTATCGGTTACGATTTTAAAATGTGGTCTAATTTCATGCCTAAATATATCGAATTTGCGTAAAGTTAAATAAGCATGCACAAATGTTCTATACATTTGATTATTTCATGCTTACGCGCATTAACGATGTATTTAAATGAGTGGCGGCGCTTTCCACCACTGGAAGCACACACAATCATCGATAGCTAGAGAGCCGTACGTGACAGACACTATCGATGTGCGCACAGCCATCCGGTAGGGTCACACTTACACTCAAGCAGAATAATTTCACACATGCACGCAATTATTTGTAATTGTTAGTTTCAAGGCGAACAAAATCGAATAGTATTTATAAACGCGCAGCACACAACGATGTCTTTTTTCGGCACGCCAACAACTAACACGGGCCTCGGCGGCCCGGCGCCCGCAAACAGCGGCTTCGGTTTTGGCGCGTCAAAACCAGCAAATGCGGCACCGCCGCCAGCCTTCGGTAGCACTCCGACGTTGGGCGCAGCAGCGGCTGCGGCAGCACCAGGTTTTGGATTTGGAAGCACGCCCGCCAGTGCCGCACCCACTATGGGATTTGGAGCACCGACGACGGCGACGACTGGAGGCTTGCCAACGTTTGGAGGGACCGGAACTTTGTCAGCATTTGGCGCGCCTGGAGCACAGACTGGAGCTCTGCCAGGATTTGGAGCGCCAGCAGCAACTACCGCACTGCCCGGCTTTGGAACAGCAGCGGCCACAACAGCTCTGCCAGCCTTTGGGACGCCGGCAACATCCACTCCCTTGCCCAGCTTTGGCTCCGCTGTGCCGTCAGCTAGCGTAGCGCCAAGCTTCAATTTTGGCACACCGGCAACAAGCGCGCCGACCACAGCACCGCCGGCCTTTGGCGCCTTTGCGTCGACAGCCACAACAGCGGCCAATTCGATGATACCCACCTCTCTAGCTGGTGGTGTTGGGCCATTTGCCTTCAATAAGCCGCCGCTGGGCGGAGCGCAGCCAACGACAGCGGCCAGCTTGAACTTTAACACGATGACGACAACGGCGACGGCGCAGCCATTTAATACGTCTCTGCGATTGGGTGGTGGGAATATATTGGCGCCGGCCAGCACAGCCGCCAGCACAGGCATCTTTGGCAAGCCACTGACCAGTGGCGCACCACAAGCGGCTGCGCCACCCGCTTTTGTAGGCCTAGGCGGCATAGATGTGAGCGCCACACAGCCAAAGTTGGGTGACAGCGCGAAGGATGGCGTCAAGGTAAGGCAACACTTTTAAGGGGGAAGGATCATTAACTTTACACCTTTTCTTCATCAGCAGATTAAGGAAACACAAGTGCCGGATGAGATCGTCAAGACTGTGGACGCTTTGAAGGCCTACATTAAGCAGCAGAAGACCATCTCTTCGGACATTGGACGCACCTCCACCAACAAGTTCACAAATGTGGGCGTGGACATCATGAACATCCAATGGACACTGCAGGAAATGGCCAATTCCGTAGACGACAACAATCAGCAAATCAAATTGATGAGAAACGAGACGGCGAAGGCTATACAAGCACTGGAGATGGCACAACGCACACAGGATACGCCCGCCGGTCTGCAGTACGAGAACAATATGCCCTTTCAGTATTTCCAGTGTCTGGTCGCCAAATACGAGCAGGAACTCATTGCAGTCCGAGAGCAAATCACTCTCACCGAATGCCACATGCAGTCGCTGACGAATCCGCAGAGCATCTCGGCCGAACATCTGAAACGCTGCTTCCGTCAGCTGAACGAGTCCTTTGTCTCCCTGGCCGGACGTCTGCACGAGGTGCATCAACGCGTGGAGGAGCAAAAGGAGCAGTATTTGAATCTGCGTCGCTATAAGCTGCGCGATGCCAGCAACGTCTTTGAAAAGATTGACAATCCGCCCGTCAAGCCCGTAGAGCCCAACCGCATCGGTTCCGGGCCAACGCCCTTTTCCAATATATCTGCGATCACCACACTAAATAGAAGTTATGCCTCGACTGCCGCGGCGCCCTCCTCCTCCAATCTGGCCACAGGCAAATGATTAGAATTTACTCAGAAATTCCCTGTTATTGTTAAATAGTGTATTTCTCTTTTTGGAATCGAAATAAAATGATGTCTGCTCTTTTATAGAATTTACTGATATTTCAATAAAAATATCAATTCCTCCGGGTCAGCAAATTTCCAATCCGATGATTATCACTCGAATTTACTCAAAAGTTCACGATTGTTAGAGCGATATTAAAAAACCTCTTGACGAGGTAAGAAGCGAAAATAAGAAATCACAAACATTCGCTCTAATATTATTGAATAGTATTTCTTTGGGAATTAATTTAATATATAAATGTTATGTTCTTTTATAGAATATATAGATATATTTCAATTCAATCGGGCCAAGCATTAAATCAACAAACGCGTTCCATATTTACTTTTTATAAAAAATATCCTTACCGTCTCAGGATAACGACAGCATTTCCCCAACACACACAATGCACATTAAAGCCAACTCCTCATTTCTTAACCACCTGAATGACATCCTCGTCGGCCATCACGTGAGCAATTCCTACACGCTGTGGCGAGTATTTCGTGCTTGTCCCCCAAACCAGCGCGTACTTGAATTGTGCCGCCAAAGTACGATGAATGGCATGACAGACGTGCTCCACACTGACACCCTGAAATCGGAAAAGAAAGATTACATCGAATTATCTCGGAAAAGCAAGTAAGATCACATAAAATGATATCAACTCGATGATATCTCTCAAATTAAAGCTTTTGTTACAAAAGTTTGAAGTCGATTTGTTTTAAAAACACGCATTTTGCAAACCAACTTTGAAGCTATTTTTCCCCCTTTGGAGTTCGAATTTCCCCAAGGTGTCATGTTTGTAATTGAATTTCCGTATGGGACTGATTACTAATCAGTCATTTAGAAAAACTGTGTTATATAGAGAGAAATTATTATAAATAGATAGGTTTGTTTTGGAAAACTAATTCCAAATTCTCATTTTTCTTAAATAGTACTAGTTTTAAATTCATTTGGCTGTAAATACTCTCAGATAGATAAACAAATATGTTCTTACAACTTCTCTAATGTCAAGAAAATAATTTGAGAAAATCTAGGGATTCTTTTCAAGATCTTCCAATTATAGATTCCTAGGGATGGTTCTTATATAACCAACTATGAAATGTATGCCGAGTTCTATTTTTAAGCCATTTATATATAACTTTCTTTAAGATTTCCAAAACTCTGGCGTCAACTCACCCTTCGCAGAATCAAACCATCGTCGAAATCTGGAGGCGCACCCGGCTTCTTGGTATAGACCCGTATGAGCTGCAAGGCTTCCCAGAGGGCCTCCAGCATGTAGTCCAGATTAAGCTTCATGTTACAACTGACTACGATAGAGAAGTCCTGTCGGGCCAGTCGATCCACCTCCTCAATGGAGATCTGATCGATCTTATTGTACACATACAAGCATGGCAGATAGACGCGATTCGCAGTGACCACATCGATGAACTCGTCCTCGGTGCAATCCTCCCGGAACAGCACCTCGGCATTAAAGATCTTAAACGAGTGGAGAATGGTTTGAACCATTTTCTCGTTGCAGCGCGTCAGGGAACAGGTGGCATTGAAGCTCAGACCACCGCCCTTTTTCTGTTTAAAGTAAATGTTGGGCTTCCGCTTATTCAGCCGTATGCCCACAGACTCCAATTCCCGTTCCAGCAGCTCACGATGCACATTCGGCTTTGTGGCGTCCAGCATCATCAGCACCAGATCTGCCGTACGGGCCACGGCAATTACCTGACGACCACGACCCTTACCTTGGGCAGCACCCTCAATGATACCCGGCAGATCGAGCAGCTGTATATTGGCGCCCTTGTACTCGATAACTCCCGGAATGCAGGTCAGTGTGGTGAACTCGTAGTTGGCTAAGCAGAAAGGTTTCAATTGGTTGGAGCTATACATTTGAATTAACATGACTTCGTACCCGCCTCTGACTCAGTCTTCGTCAATGTTGATAACATGGTGGACTTTCCCACCGACGGGAAACCGATTAATGCCACACGCGCATCTCCGCTCTTCAGCACATCGAATCCTTCGCCCTTCTCGCCCTTCTTCGACGGCTCCAGCAGCTGCGATCGATACTTGGCAAGCTTTGCCTTCAACAAGCCCAAATGGTATTCGGTGGCTGCCAACAACAAACAAAGACTATAATTCTAACCTTAATTTTTGCCAGCGTTGCGAATTCCGCTGCTCTGCGACCGGCGACCGCGCCGGTCACTCGGATGTATACGTATTTTCCACCCACCTTTGTTCTTTTGGGTTCGCGCAATTTCCCGCTCGATCTCTGCTATTTTCTCTAGGATACCCATTTTGTTGCTGTCGTGTCTGGGGCTCGCATTTAATGGTTACCCGTCGCAAGCAATAACAATTTGATGTTTATGAATTTTAGCTGCGAGCTAGGGAGTAGTAGAGACGGGTGCGTGACTGTGCGTGACTTTGCGGACAAAGAGTTATTCGATGTTATGTCGAACGAACTGTAAGTGTTTTTTTAGTGTACAAATTAAAATGAAAGGGATTAATTTGAAATACATAATTTTAAAACATAAAATCATAATTACTAAACTAATCCGAAGGCGGTAGGATTGAGGTTAATCTTTAGATAAGGTTAAGCACTACGTCAACAGCTGGCAAGTAAATGGTAAAAAACATGTACATTAGAGTAAGCTATGAATTATAGGCACAAAATAGGAGTGTTTCCAATTGGGGATCATTGTAGAGCTAGGTGCTTGGTATTACATATAAAATTCACGTGTCTCAAGGTTTGTCATCGATAGACTGCGAAACTACTGAACCGATTTAAATCAAATTTCACAAGCATCTGTAAATTGCCCTAACAAAGGATAGGATTTATAAATATATATAGAAATTTAAAAATTTAGTATACATCATGTACAAAAAAATGTAAATCCACTCTAAAATAAAGTAATTATGAAAATAGCAGCTGTTTATAAAACATTTTTAAATTAAAAAGAAATATTAGTGAAATGCTCAGTGAAATAATACTAATAATTTAAATATTTCACGACAGTTTTAAAAAAATGGATAAATTACTATTTTAAATTCAGGTAATAATCAGAAGCAGATAAATGCAGCTGCGACAATGTTGCGTATTTGCTAATTTCGAATCAATTGTTACTCTTTTTTTTATTAATTATATTTAGATTTAATATTATTAAAATATTTGCATCGAATGAATTAATGTAGATTTGTTTTGAGTTTTAGAAAAACGCCAATTTTGTTCATCTTTTTAATAATAGTCTCATCTCTAAAGCCTTTGCACACGCCTGCTGACAGTGTGACCGTAGGTGCTGTGCAACACAATACCAAAGCAGAAATACGAACGACTATGTGCTAGTATTTTAATGCTAGAGTTGTGGGCGCGCATTTTAAAAAATTACCCCTATCTAGGCTAGTATTTCTTATTTATTTGTTAAAATAATCAAAAAGGACATTTATCAAAAATCAAAAAGTTAACGTCTAATTAAAAAGATAATCATAAAACTACGATTTTGTGCCTGCGCATTGTGCGAACGCATAAAATATACACAAATACACGCACACACAATTACAATTACAATTTACGAGTAACACTCACACGAAGACAGTTATGTAAATTACAAGAGGGAGGAAAAAACTTGAGACTGCTTAGGTATTGGCGTAGTAGCCATTGCCGTCGTTACCCATGAACTCAGTCCAGCGCTGGGCGTCGATGTGGTCCAACTCGGAGCAGACCTCGCCCGGTTGCAGGGACCGGCAGGTGCAGGTGATGCCGATCCGCGTGATAATCAGCTGTGATTCATATTTGGGAAGCGCTGGCTCGGCGTCCACCAGCCGATCGGACAGGCACTGCTTGAGGAACTGCTTGCGCAGCACACGCAAGTTATCCATAGTGTAGCCTGAAAGCGACGAGTTTAAGCCCATTTTTGTAGATAAATATTTAAATTCGAGCTTACTTTTATAGGCGCTTATTTGCTCCTCGACGCAGTTGAGATCCTGCGGCGAGAATAACGGCGGGTAGGCCTCCGACTCGCGTATATTGAGCACGAAGGCAAAGTCTAGCGACGAGGTGGCATTTCCCAGCGCCTTTAGCAGCACACCCGTCGACGAAATGGAAGCTAGGTACCAGTCAGTGGGCTCCTCTTCCGTTGCAGCAGACGCAGTTACCCCATCGCCATCCTCCACAGGACCAGAGCTGCGGCTGCTCGCCATGTTTGCGGTGCTTTTTAGGGTGCTGCTGTTCTCGGTTTCGGCACGACGTTGTCGCTTGCGGCGGCGATAGTCCGGCATGCTCGCTGGTGTGGGTGGCAGATTGGCAGCAGCAGCCGCAGCTGCATCGGCTGCCTGTTCATGTGCTTCGTGCTCCAGCTCCAAATCCCACAGACTCAGCTGTGACTCGGCGGTCAGTGGAAGGCCTGTAGTGGTCTGTAAAGTAGGGACCGAATAGCCCTCGCTGCGCACGTCTCTATTGCCAGCGGTAGGATATTTGCTGCGCAGGTGTATGGGCCGCTCGTTCTGATTCTGCAGCTGTGGTACCTCGTTGTCATTGTAGAGCAACTCGTATTCCTCGGGCACACGCAATGGGTTCGCATTTTCTGCCGGCTCATAGTCCTTCTGCGAAAACTAGATACTTAGTCGAACTATTTACACTTTTTCTCCCTCTACTTACAAACTCCTTGTAGCCTCCGGCGCCATTATTTCCCAGATAATAATTGCCTCCGGGTTCATTCTGGGCCGCTACCGCGGCTGCAGGCAACAGTTCCTGCAGCACCTCCTGCTCGATGAGTGGATTGTGGAGCTTGCGGTGCTTCGCATGCTTAGCAGCCAGCGACTGCTCCGTTTGTGCCTCAGCTGCCGCCTCCGCCTCGGCCACCTTGCGTAGCAGCTGTTCGCGGTTTTGGAGCAACTTTTTGAGCAGCTTGGGATGCTTTAGTGGGGACTGTTTGCTCTTCTGAGCTGGACGCAGAGTGCGATTTAGTCGCACCTCCAGATCATCCGTGCTGAACAGCACCGCACCCGGTGGTTCAATATGCCTGGCTATGGCGTAGAGCTTGACTACAGTGGACTCATTGTAGCGCAAACGACAGGTGTCAGCGCGGGCTTGCAGAATGATGTCACTGTCTGTTAAAGAAGTTATAAATTAGTAGGTGATTCCATAAATCATGGATGTTCTAAGGATACGGCGAAGAAAAGAAAAAGGAACTACTGCACTCTTACTCTCAGATAAGAGTGTCTGCTAAAGAAGTGATATATTAGTAGGTAATTCTATTAATCTCGGGTGTTCTAAAGATCCGGCGGATACTGTATCAGGGCCATAAGTTTAAGTAGGAACTACTGCTACCCTACTCTCAGATAAAGAACACATTTACATTTCCGAGAAAGACGACATCATTCTCAACCGAAGAACGAGAATCCCTTATAGCCTCGGGTTCGATCAATACATATAGAGATATGTTTATACGAATACAGGAAACTCTTCAAAACTCAGACTCAAAAGAGGCTAAATGGTGGTCGTAATGGTAAAAAGATATATAAGTGCCCATATGCTGAATACTATTTCAGCCCACACAAGTCCCAATTAATCAGCTGGAAACCCCTTTAACCGAAGAAAAAGATTCCCAGTGGTTCAAAGATACGGCCCAAGTTCGTTTGGAACACAATTAATCATTTCTTCGTTACTATATTTTCCTGAATTCCTCCATCTATGAGAGTCGCCTAAGTATGTTAATGAGCACTCACCTGGCACAAACTCGTAAGCATCCTTGGCATGGGGCTTATCCCGACACTGTAACTGCCAATGCAGAAAGAAGTCCCCGCCAAAGCTTTGCGAAATGGACACACCGCCCAACAGGCTGCTGGCTCCTCCCGAGTCTGTCATCATCGCATTGAGCAGAGGTTGTCCATTGCGGCCATCTAGTATGGTTGTCTGCGAGTAGTAGTAGACGGGAAAGCCGGGTCCAGTGTTATACTTGACCATGAAGTCAGTGACATTGTCATTATTGAAGTGCCCCGGCACAATGGCGCTGACGCACTCGCTGGCCGGGAATGTAAAGTTCCAGAGCATGCTAAAGTTTCTGCCATCGAAGGCATAGACCGTGCTATTGAAGGAAGCTACAACAACATCGGCGACATGATCGCCATTAAGATCGGTGAGTACGGCGGGCACCATGAGGCCCGAGCGAGGCTGCTGATAGAGGGGCGTGAAGTGCTTCTCGCTAGTGTAGGCCATGAGTGCGTGAAGACGCAGACTGTAGACGCCACCAGCGGTATTCTGGCCACCAGTGAGTATCAACAACAGCTCCGTGCCATCGCCCCTTGTGATCATCTGTATGGGCACAAACATTTCTTCGCGATATGGTGTGGGTATGGTGCGCAAAACTTTGCCCGTTTTGCCCGATATCAGCTTTATGTGGCCTGCCTTTGACTCCTCGCGCTCCTCCAGATGGGCAGCTAGTATTTCGGGCACGCCATCATCGTTTAAGTCACGCACCACATTAATAGTATAAAGATCCATGACAATCGGTGAGTTAGTTTCGACTTCAATTTCTCGATAGGTCCAAATAACATTGCCTTTGCGTCCATTGATGGCAAAGATCATCTGGAAGACACGGCACACAAGATATTAAGACAAGAACATTTACCGAACACCAGACTAAGTTGTAACTCACGCCCAAGCGTCCGGCAGCCACACAATCGGGACTGCCATCACCATCTATATCCGCACTGCAGTGCAGGGAGAATACATTCGCCACACTCCAGGTCTGCCAGAGCAGCTCACCGGTGCGTCCATTGACGGCAATCACGCCGCCCTCGCAGGGCACATCGTCGCCCTGCTGCGCGGACTGACAACGCGGCAGCGGTATGCCTTCATAATGGATATTATCATCCACGCCATAGCCGAAGACAATGTCCTTAATGCCATCGCCATTTAAGTCCGCCGCCCGGAGCGGACTTTCGCTGTTCATGCGCGCAAACGTGCGTGTCCAGCGATTTTGCACACTAATCTGAGTGCAGGGCACAAACTCGCTGCCCTGTGTACTGCCATAGGTACCTCCAGTACCCCTGGAGGCAGCGGCCAAAGGACCAGCTGCGTAGTCAGCACTGCCATCGTTATGCCACCAGGACTTTAAGCGCTCCAACGGCAAGGGGAAAAGTGTGAGAATGAGAGCGGCCAGACTAACCAGAGCACATATAACCGTGAGGGCGGCGAGGGCATAGCAGAAGGGCTCACAGCAACGACAACAGCGTCTGTGATGCTTCTTCATGATGGGTGAGCTGCCGGAACTGTGCTTGCGGCGTGGCGCCATCAGCGGACGCTTCAGCCCCTGCTCCTCGCTGCGCTATAAGAGCAAACAAAAAAGAACAACATGCTAATTCAATTTTATCAATCAATGGTCTCTTGACACTCACCTTGGCCGAGCGCGCATCCTTGATAAAGACCTCATCGTCCACGTCATCGCTAATGTCCTCATCGATGGAGTCGCGCACAGCAATGCGATTGGAGGGCACATATGGTCGCAGCTTGATCATATTTTCAGCTGCTTCCTCGATGCCAAAGCCCCTGCAGCTGCTTAAAAGGCTCTTCGCGGCGCCTACAAATATGCAGCACTTATACTTTTTGAATTTTGAATTATTTTACGCACAGCTTCTTTATTTTTATTATTCCCTCTACAGCGCTATTGCATTTGCATTTGTGCCTGCAATCTGTCGCCCCTTACTTGTGTGTAAAAATCAATAATCTCTCGCTCAGCTGTGTGCGTTGCGCAGCGCCTGCGCCCTAGCCAGCAAACCCTTCGTCTGGCTCCCTTATCAACCGACCGGGGAGGGCAGCAGACACGTGTTAGACGCTGGCCACAGGTTTGTTTATCAACACACTGCACCCGACCATCACCTGAGCCACCGAGCAGGCAACTGTTGCGCAACCAGTCCCATATGTGCCACTCAACTCAACTCAACTCAACTCCCTACGCAACCCCTCCCGAACAGAACAGAACCGACCCGTCCCGACCCGACCCGCAACGCCCAACCCTCCACCGCCAACCACAGCGACTGCTTAATAATAATTCAAGCGGTTCAATGTACCCTCATTCAGTTTCATGAATGAAGTGACGCGCCATATTTGCCCGCCAGCTTGTTGCTCCTCTCTCGCCCTCGCTCTGCCTCTCTCCCTCGCACACAGAGTTGCTGCCCATCCGTCCCAACTACAACTCTATGCTTTCCATTCACTACAGTGCTTCCGCATGCGGACAAGTGGGTCACCACCGTTCTATGAATACTTGTACTCGCATGTGTGTGCTTCCTCTTCCTTTCTTTTAACTAGCGACTTATAAATAATTCAAGATATTTGGTCTACCTGTGGTTTGGCTTCTTACGCAAGTGAAAGGCATTTACTCGGGCATGTGATTAGTTACTTAAATACTGCAACAATAAAGTTAAGGCTTTAAGGCCTCCATTATACATATGTAGTAGGAGTGGTTTGTATGTGATAAGGTTCTTACTCATGGTACAGGTTTAGTTGGGAATTATAAGAAAAAAATGGTTCATTTTTACGCAAATTGCGATTCGCTATTACGTTTTTTGAAAAACAAATTAGAGGGGGAGATTATACTCTGCTGTGCAGGTTTGTTATCAATTGTTTTTAATATAATAAAATAAAATAGTATACCAATTGAAAATAGTATACAAAAGAAAATTCTCAAAATATCTCTCACCAAAATTATGTAAAATTATAGGTTCAGATCAGAGTCACTGACTTATATAGATTTCTCATAAATAAAAACGTTAAAACTTCATCTAAAATCCCTTCCTTGCAAATCTGTTTCGAGTATTACAACTAATTGCAACATTTTTCTGAATTTTTTCATTTGCTTACTGATTTTAACTCTCTGTAGAAACAAACATTTCTTAGAGTACTTGTATATGAACTAGTGTAGAATATTCTTTTGTAGGGCTTGCGACACCTTTTTTTCATAATAACCTGGTAACATTCATTCGACTTAATGATTCCATAACGAGCCTCCCATTAATTGGCAATGGGAAGATAATGAAATATTCTATCAACAATCTCTAAATTAATTGAAAATAAATGTTCCCATTCTAAACTTTTGGAAAGGACTACTTTTTTTGCACTTCTATATCATACTATATAATCTCCAATTACTTGTATATATTTGAAATCTATTAATAAATAGAAAAAATGTGTCAATCAAAAAGATTGAATTGTGATTGAATTCTCATATCTCTTTCTCCTTGCTTAATTCTAAAATGTTAAAACAATTTTAAAAACTTCAAAAAAGTCGATATCATTATTTTTAAAACTAAAACAAATTATGTTTCCAAAAAAAAATTCTAACGCTCAAAATATCTATTGTTAAGAGTGTTCGGAGTGTTGTTATGTTATGAAATGTTCAATTAGAGTTTGAAAATATACCCCAATTACTAAAATTGAAGGAAGTTTTCTCATGATACGGAAACTAAACCAGTTTGCTTCTATATTCTGAAGCTGTAAAAATTGTATTTACATGTGTTTTTCATTTGGAATTTTTAAGAGTATAGGGACTAGTATGTGATTATAAAAATAACTTTTATATTCGCATTTCCATTTAAAACTTTAAAACATACAAAAACATCCTTCCATTTTCTACTATTGAGAAGTTATAGAAATTTGTCTTACATTTGAATTTCGTTTTTCATTGGAAAGTTAGAAAGATAGGGACTATTGTGAAGTCATAAAAGTCGCAAAAGGATTTAGAAGTCTAAAACACATATTCGTAAATGCTTAATGGTTCACATTTAGGACTTCTTTGACAGTTTGCTTGCCTATCTAGATAATGACATGTTTTCAACTGACTTTTGCCAACTCAGGCGCGTGTTACTCACACAGCACTTTGACCTTCAGCAGACGAAAATTCCAAAGGTCGATCTTTTCCACAGAACCACGACCTCGACTTGGTCTCTGACGCAGCATCTTGTTGCGGCAAAATAATTCAAAGAGATGCTCGTACATTTCCAAAAATATATATATTCTGTATTATGTTTGAAAAAAAGACACAAATTTCATGACGTAATGTAATGTCGCTGGTGAAAAGTCAAACAAAATGAAACAACAACAACAACCTTTTCGATTTGAACCCCTTTCCAACGTAGTACCACCCTTAAAACTTAAGAGCACCACTTAAGCGCAACGGTTGATAAAAAGCGGACGGACTCGAGAGCCAAAAGCAAGCACTCAGGACAGGTCACGAAAAGCAGAGCCTGCAGCTTGGCTGACTGCATTTGAATAAACTATAGAAGAGAATCGGCCGCTTTTTATAGCGGCGCAGCAAAGAAGATGCCAGGGAGGGGTGCGGGCGGTTGCTTCATGAACTTAAGTGTGTTATTATCGCATCAGAGATAATTTAATAACGACGATGCTGAAGAAGATGATGATGATGACGGCGACGAGTTGTTGCTGTTGTCGGTTTGGTTATTAGCGGCATTGGCAGGGGCCAAAGGATGTGTTGCTGAAGTGCACCAGCAAGGCGTTGAGTGCTCTGCTGGCTTGAGGAGCTTCCCCTTTTTCCCCCCCTCCCCCACAGTGGTGCCAACAGCAAACGCAAAAGTTTTTATAGTTGAAGGAAAAAAATGTTAAGTTTATGATTTTCATTTAAGATCTCATTTATTTTACTTGCATCTGACTAGAAAGAAGTGAAGTGGGAAGTTAGAGTGAAAGAGTTGGATCTCTTTCGGTGTTAAATAAAAAACAGTTCCCTGTTTTCTAATCAGCCCTGCTACACAGAAGCACATTGTCAGCATGGCTATAACTGAAACCTGTCAAAGATATCGGATAAAACCGATCGGAAAGAAGGGTTTGGTTATTTGTTTTGTCGGTTTTCCCCGCGCTCAGAAGTTCTAGCCAGAGTTTTCTGCATGTGCCTGTTGTCAACAACAAAAAGTGGTGCGACGCCTTCTAAAATCGGCATCATCTAGAGTTAGCCCGGTCTGCTTCATCATCGGCATCATAAAGTCTGTGGATCTGAAGCTTGAGATTGTCGAACCTATACCATAAACCTGATCAAGAAGACCCTTGCAATCCATAAGAAGAAGGATGACAAGTTCTTCGTGATAATGGTTCAGGCACGAGTCCAGAAGACGAACAAGAAAGGAATGCTTAACTCTTCTGAGTAAAATTCCAAAAATTACGGGATTTATGGGAAAAAAGAACGAATTGCAGGGGAATGGGGGGGGGGGGGGGGGGTATCAGAAAAAATAAACAAACTTGATCTGCTTATTGCTCAGGAGAACCTGAATACCAAGTTTGGTTATTCTAGCTCTCGTACTTGCTGAGATCCTTGCGTTCATACAGACAGACAGACGGACGGACAGACAGACGGACATGGCTATATAGGGTAGACAAATCTTCTGCTTCTGCTCTAGATGCCTATGTCAGTGGAGCCACAGGAATTGTGGTCGGTCTTATTTTCTTCTTCATTAAAACATAATAAATGTTGAGCTCATTTATATAAATACAATGAAATTAAAAATTAAATTAATATATACAATAAACATACTATTTTTGCCAAATATTCCAAAACTTAGCACCACTGTTTGTCGGTTGATTTGCGTCTATGCATGAATATGCGAACACAGCCACTTCAAGGTTATGGCATCATTTTACATCAGTGCCGCCCATCCTTCGCCATCCTTCAGCCACCACCCCGCATCTTGGCACAGGTGTCAGGCGGAGCGGCTTTAATTATATATTGCAAAAATACATTTTAATACTTACTATAGAAATTGTCTTGCTGCTGCTGCTGTTGTTGTTGTTGTTCTCAGTGCTGCGACAAGGTCGTTGGTAGAAAGTGAAATTTTCGTCACTGCCAGAGCAAGTAGTCGCCCACTTGAGATTGCGTCAAGCTCCGGTTCATTAAAGTCGATTTTTGATGGCTGTGGGGCCGGCTGTGATTTATTTGGGGCCCGTTTCTGGCATTGTGACGTCATTGGATTACCTTCTTACCATTCATTAGCAAGGCAGTCAGGCAGACAGGCAGACAGCCTCAGTTCTCTGCGCCAAGCATTGCAGTCAAGCTTCTTATCCTTTCCAGCTGTTGTGAGCGAAAATTTTGACATTGTCGTGGACGGCGTTGACGTCGCTGCGACAAAATGGCACTTGGTTGGCCACTTTAGAAGTTTTCGCTGTTGGGAATTGTTGTTTCGAAGCAGCGACTAACAAGCAAATTGATTGAAAAGCTATGGCACTTCAGGAGCATCTTCGACAAGCGCTCGTTACGAATTTCACAAAAAAAACCACATGAATAGTTAAAACGAGAGGGAATGATGAGAGTATTTATAATAAAAATGTGTTATATTTTTTCATATGACAATATTAAAATAATAAAATATGTATACCATGAAAATTATACATAGTAATTAAAGAGAGTTTATAAAAAACTTTTTTTCAATAACTTTCGACTAACATGTCGACCAAGTTAATAGAATTTTCAAAGTACAAATATCCTAATATTATTTACTGTCAAATATTTAAATTGAATGAATGAATGCCGATAAACTTTTTCAAACGACATAAATCTATATGAATTAAAAATCAATAAATAATCTCTTCTGTTAGTTTTCAGATTTTAATTTTAAGCTAACATTATATAAATAAATAAATCAATAATAGTGGGAGATATATGGAGGGCGGGAAAAACACAAACTTTTCCTTTCTCGACAATAGCAGAACCTGGATACGAAGTTTTGCTATGATAGCTCTTCTATTTTATGATATGATAGCTTTCATACAAACGGACATACATGGGTATATCGATTCGTATTGTCATGCTGATCAAAACTGCAATACCTGCTTCTGTTCCACTTAGTAAGGGATTTATCTAAAATAATTTAACTTTAATTAGAATTAAAGTCGTGATAAAACAAGAAAGAAGGGCTAGAGTCGAGCGGGACCAACTCTCTTTAGTTGAAATAAATTTAGTGATAGTTAAAGTAATTATTTAATAAGTGAGCTTAAGTGATCAGTAGTCTAAGAGATTGGAATATTTGCACATATCTATATGTTTAAGGTACTTAAACTAATATAAATTTCATATAAGTACACCTAATTCTGTTTAAACACGGTATATTGGTTCCAGAAACAAACGTGTAAAAAAAGACATTGATCATATGCAAAAATAGGTGATTGGTTCCTTATCTCTAAAGAAATATATATGCAATTTCTAATATTCAGACCGTGTTATATCAAAATCGTGTAAAAAAAAAAACAGAATTAATGATATTTATATGAAGGACAAAATACCTAAAGAATATTCAATTTTAAAATCCAATCAGCTTGCAAAACTCTTGTCAAATAAATTGATAATAAATATGTAAGTAAATCAAATAAATAAATAAATTTATAAATTATTAGTTAAATAAATTTACTGACTCCGCAAACTACTTTTCCAATTCTACCTTCCAGCAGTGCTTATTCTTGAGAAATCTGATTGCAAACTACAATAGATAAAATTCTTGTTTTTTTTTTTAGAAAGTTATTAACGAAACTACATATGCATTATACTTGTAAATAAATATATTTCTAACGTTTTTCTCTGCCATTCCAATCCATAAATTGCCACCTTCATACATGTGATAGATTTCTGCTAATTTAGGCACATTTTTTATTGCACGTCCTGCGTGCGTTTCTGCGTTTGTTGGCCAATCGATAAACCGAGCTTACTAACGGAAATCTCAGCACTGGCTGGCTGTGACAAAACCATAATAGCTATGACGACAGAGACGAACCGCACATTCTGAGGCACAGTCTCCGCAGTGCTAGTAGCAGCAGCAGATTATGTGAAAGGCAATGCCAAAGTACTCGACGAAATTATGTTAAGTGACTTTGACTAGAGGGTAGGGGAGGGGGAAGGGGGTGCGGTCGCAGCCAAAGACAAACAAAAAACGCATATAGAGGTTGTATGGGTATATATATACATACATATATATCATGAGAAAGCTATATATAGAAACTCAGAAAAAAAAATGGGCAGGATAGGTCGAGTCTGGTCTTCTGTCTAAGATATAGAACTTTTGCTTTACATGCATACATATATGCACATATATTTTTATAGGAAATCAACAACAGTTTCTTAACACACACATACATACATAGATACACACACACACATACATACATAGATACACACACACACATATGTACCTCCCACATTGGTGCATCCATCGGCACATTATTCCTGCTCCTGCCATTCGTTGGTGAGCTTTTCAGCTGCCTTGCAACGTTTTAAATTCAAATCGTTTGCGCCAAAACGTCAGTTGCAAGCGAAAGTTCGAACTGTGTAGACGTTGAAATCGGAAACAAAATCGGATAGTCCTATATATCATCACACTTTAAAGGAATCCTCAAGTAAAGAGTTCTAGAAAAGTGTGTGTGTGTAAAATCAGTTATTTAAACCATAAATTATATCTGAAATTAAAGAAACATATTGCATATTTTCTACATAAATATGTAGATTATGCATATACAGTGTCTGCAATATGTTTTGTGCTGTTACGTAATCATTGTGAGAATATAAAATATGCATAAACTAATTGGCGTTTAATGCGTATCTTAACAATTCTTAATCATCTGCAATAAGAAGAAAATTAAAGTTTAAACTTGATATTGAAAGGTAGAGTATACATAAAAATAAATATGAATATAAAAACCAACTTAATAATTTTTAACACACAATTTTTTGCTGTTTCGTCAAAAATTGCAATAAAATCTAAATTCGAATATGAACATTTTCAAAAGTAATTTTAATTCTAGTTCATATCATATAGTCTTCATATAGTCAATTTTTTTTGAGATCCAAATACAATTTCCAAACCAAAGTAGAATGCACAGTAATAAGTCTATCTAGAGACCTTTCCAACGTTTTTACCAAAATATATTGATTTTTTATTGCGTTAGCTTGCATTTTTTATATATCGCACTTTTTAAAAATAAACTGAAAGTAGAGAAAATTATAATCGAACAGGTCGTCTTAAAATTTAAGATTTCATGTGAAGTTCCAAAGAGGCTTTCATTCAATTACAAGTAGTTTTTCTTTTAGTTTTGAAATTAATATTCTAATACTGTTTTTTTTTTTAATTCTATATAATAACTATTATAATAAACGTTTCTAACTATTCATAATCAAAAAAAAAAAAAAAAAAAACTAATTCAGCTAGAGAGCTAAAATTTAAACACATCTTCTATTTGACATAAAAAGTTCAAACTAAATTCTACCCCAAATGGATAAAATCGGCTCTACACTACGTAATAAATAATCGTGTTACTCGATAGAGGTTTTTAAAATTAATTTAATGGGACTGACTTCTCAGCCAAACGTGCTTCATTTTCAGTTATATAGAACATGTAGAACAAAGAAAAAAACAGGAATTACTATAATATGCCAAGTTTGTCGGCAATATGGCCATCAAACCATCTGTAATCGAAATATTTTCAATTCTATTGTACGAATTGTAGGTTTTTATTTTTTGTTATCAGTATAAAATATTTTATAGTAATAGACAAGTTATTGTTATTCATAATTCCTAAACGAAACGAAACACTACCTTGGATGGAAAGTATGTAACAGGGAGAAGGTAGCATTTTTGGCCTTTTAATCAGCATGACGATAGAAATTTATCTAGACATGTCCGTCCGTCTTTTCGTCTGTCTGGACGAACCCCCGGATTTCGTAAACGGCTGACCCCATATTGACCAACTTGGTATGTAATATTCCCTCCCCTCGCACCAGAATATCGTCAAAAAACAAAAAAAAAAAAATATATATTAGATATTATTATTATTTCAAACCCAATTTGAAGAATTTGTTGTTGCAGATCTGACGCTTTTGTTTTCACTTCGTAGCTCATTAAAGATAAAGATATATAAAGTTTCACTACTTTGTTGAAGTGTAGTCAACTGAAGATGAAATGCTAACTTGTAACATTACTGTAAAAATTACTTAAATATTAAAGGTATGGACATCTGACGTAAAAAATCTGACGCAAACATGCCCGTAGTTCATTCCATGAAACTTTCTATGTTTCCTTTTGGATTTAATGAATATACTGACTATATAATTAGTCAACCTAATAAGTACTTGTTATTACTGAGGACTACTACTAAGGTAGTCTCATTTAAAACACAAAAAATCTTTTTTAATTTCGGTTTACTTGCTTGACATTGCTTGAAAGTAAATTAAAATTTAAGTTGTCCCAATTTCGAATAGAGGCAGTGAAATCTTCTCATTGCCATGCAGAGGCAATTGTCCTTGTCTAATGCGCCCCTCGCTCGTGCATTCTTCGACGACTTGTGCCGCTCGCTCGGTTCGGTTGAGGCGCTCGTAATATGGCACAAATAAATTTTTTTCCCCGCATGCCACATAAAAGCGCATGGGCCACTTAAGATGCCGCAACGCATACCAGGCCCCCATCCACGGTCTCCAGCCCCCCGTCCGCCAATGTTCCTTCCTAGTTTGCCAGCGCTATTCGCAGCCGCCGCCGCCTTCTTCGAGTGGTTTTAATTGTGAATTAAGTCGCTATTGTGCACATGTATGGATATATATGCATATAGGGGTTTGTGTGTGACATGTAGAGAGATAGTGAGAGAGCAAGAGACAGGTGCAGGCTTGCCAGGGTTGCCGCAATGCCGAGGCTATTGTTCAGGAAACGCGGGCAGTGTCTCGTTTATTTTTTGTTTTCGTGTCCGTTGCCTTCCCTTCATAGATTTCTTTATGTTTTATTTTTATTTTGTTTACATCGGTGGGCATTATAATTGTTGCTGTTTTTGTCAATCTGCTCGGCCGGCTGGAAGGACGAGCACAAGCACGTGCATGACTGCCGTCCCCTGCTCAGTGGCATCCATCGTCTTCCACTCGATGTATTGTCAATGCCAGTGACACCGTTCGAGTGTTCTGCTTTGATCTTGGCGCAAGGTCATGGGCCAAGCGGAAATTGCCGCAAATCGCCCCTAAACTAATGTGTAAATATTTTTCAATAACTACACTTTTGTTGCTTACTGTACTCACTCGTTGCAGACGCACGCACAGCTCTACAGCCATGGTAGCCCAAATCCTATTACTAGGCATACTCATTGTCTGCCTCAAACAATACGTCAAGGCTGAATTTCAGTAAGTATCCAAAACTAGAAATATATGTAGGAGTGTATATATTTTGAACCGCCATAATCCCTAATTGTTTTTAGACAAAGTCTTGCCATAACCGATATCCTGCCCGAGGACATTAAGCGCTATGATAAAATGCGTCCACCCAAGAAGGAGGGTCAGCCCACAATTGTGTATTTCCATGTCACAGTCATGGGCTTGGATTCCATCGATGAGAACTCAATGACTTATGTGGCCGATGTGTTCTTCGCACAAACCTGGAAAGATCATCGCCTACGCTTGCCCGAGAACATGACACAGGAGTATCGTTTGCTTGAGGTCGACTGGTTGAAGAACATGTGGCGACCAGATTCCTTCTTCAAGAATGCCAAATCGGTTACATTCCAAACAATGACCATTCCGAATCACTACATGTGGCTCTATAAGGATAAGACCATTTTGTACATGGTGAAGCTAACACTAAAATTGTCCTGCATCATGAACTTTGCCATCTATCCACACGATACACAAGAGTGCAAGCTACAAATGGAGAGCTGTAAGTGAATATTAAAACTGGTCTTTGGGGGCCTTAAACAAAAGCTATTAGTTTTGAATACTGTTGAAATTTCAAATGTGATAGTATTAGTGGCATTCTTTTATTATTAATTTTTATTAATTTTTCAGTTATGATAGTATTCGTAGCATTGTTTTATTTTTATGTTCTTACACAGATTTATTGTGGGTAGTATAAATTCTTCTTTCCTTTTAGGTTGTGTTAATTTCTTTGTTCCCTGCAAAACAACGAGAAACTTACTTCCTATGTCAGACGAATCAGACAAGCCACAGAGTCAGAGATTTCTTTTCTTAAAAAAATTTTTTTATTCTTGTTATTTGAATATTTTATTTTTCACTTTTTGTTTGCAGTCCACAATTCAACAATTCAATTATTATATATTATTGTAAGAAATAGATAATGAAAAAATATTAGCGAGGTGTCATGGGTCTACCGAAAGGACCAAAATTCTTGGAGAATTATAATCTCAAGTCTTTTAATACATAAATAATAAATAAGTGATTTGTTTTTGTTCAAAGTGATCCAGTAATTTTTTTGTTAGGCTTCTATTCTCTGAACTATAGATTTAAGCCGGAAGACATCTGAGACGTATAATATAGTCGTTTTTGTTGTCATTATAAACTTCATTCGATGATATAGTTTCGTTATAAAAGCATCATGATTCTTGAGTGTGGCCATGTAACGAACAAATCGGATTGTTTTTTTCTATTTCAGAACCCATTCAATGATTTAGTTTAGTTCTGAAAAGTATTTGTGGCTTTAAAGAGAACATTTGATTATTTTTATTTAAAACCAATTACAGACCTTTGTCGGTCTAAAAAGTACTTTTTTTTTATGTGTAAATCGGTTCATGAGGTTCCAAATGGGGAAAATCAGATACGTTTTTCGCTCTTCTTAAATTAACTTTGTATTAATTCTTCCTCTCTCTCCCTCTCTCTACATTTTTACCCAGTGTCACACACAACCGATGACCTGATATTCCAATGGGATCCGACTACACCTCTGGTGGTTGACGAGAATATAGAATTGCCACAGGTGGCTCTCATACGTAACGAAACAGCAGACTGCACTCAGGTCTACTCCACCGGCAATTTCACGTGCTTGGAAGTGGTCTTCACACTGAAACGGCGGCTGGTCTATTACGTTTTCAACACCTACATACCAACATGTATGATTGTGATAATGTCTTGGGTCTCATTCTGGATAAAGCCTGAGGCAGCGCCAGCCCGTGTTACATTGGGAGTTACCTCTCTGCTAACCCTTTCCACCCAGCACGCCAAGTCGCAGTCTTCGCTGCCGCCTGTCTCGTATCTGAAGGCTGTGGATGCTTTCATGTCCGTCTGCACAGTGTTTGTGTTTATGGCTCTGATGGAATACTGTCTGATCAATATTGTGCTCAGCGATACGCCTATTCCGAAGCCCATGGCCTATCCAGCCAAGCCAGTGCCGGAGCAGGCCCAAAAGGATGGACCAGCGGCGACGGCGCCACCGCCAGCGAGCAGCAATATGTCAAAGAATCCCATGTTGCCGGTGCCGGATGAGAAGATTGAAAAAATTGAAAAGATTTTCGATGAGATGACGAAGAACAAGCGCGTAAGTTGAATTGAAAAAATCAAGGACAACTTTTCTATATATAGAGAGTTCCTCTAAAACTAAAACTGATTCTGAATCTGGAGTTTATTTCTATATAAAAAATTTGATACTGGAATTTCTTTCTACAACATTTGTTTTTCAATTTACAAATACTAGTTTAGTACTTTAATTTATTTTTTTTTTTCTTAGCACGCATTTGTTTTTTTGAGTGTAGATGAAAGATTATGTGACACTTTCTTTTCCTTGCTCTTGCACAGGTTGTGACCACCACACGACGTTTGGTGCGTCCGCCGCTGGATGCCGATGGTCCATGGATTCCGCGTCATGAATCGCACATTATGCTTACACCCACCATTGCGGCACCACCCCCACCACCGCCGCCACAGCCAGCGCCACAGCCCGCAGAGCCAGAGCCTGGCCGGCTGATGAAGCTGACACCCGCCCAGGAGCGACTAAAGCGCGCCATCTACATCGATCGGTCTTCTCGTGTGCTCTTCCCTGCGCTATTCGCCAGCCTCAACTGCATCTATTGGATTGTATTTTACGAGTATTTGTAAGATACCCGGCCACGTTAGCGAATGCTTGCTATCTCCGTTGTGTTGGACGCGCGGGTCTGATGTAAATATGTTCGATTTGCCAGCGCTTAGGCAGTTCTATAGTAACACTCTCAATGCAAGTAATCGAGTTGTAACTTTATCGTAAATTAAACTTATATATACTAATTGTTAATTGTTCAAATGCAAAAACAAATCTCTTTAAGTCACACACAATTAGCGAATCTTAAGCGTATGCGCACAAGCTTTAAGTCAATGGCAACGAATTTTAAAACAACTAAACAAATACTCGTATATTTAAAATAATAACAATTACTGTTGCTCATATCTATAGTATTTCACTTATGGCTTATATGGTACATTTCAATTCCTAATGGCTTAATGTTAAACAAAAGGAAAACAAAAACCGACCACAAATGTGTGGGGCGTCTTAGATAAATTGTACTTCTAATGCCTCCAAATGCTTTTAATTGTAAATAAAATGAATCAATTTAATTAAACAAATGTTGGTTTTCCTACAACAGTCGACCTAATTGGATAAAATTGAACTCAAAAAGAATGCCCGAATCCCTACATTTTTGAAGATATTTTTCTATAAGAAAGTGATATAACGTATATTAAAGAGTTTTTCTTTAAATAGGGAAATAGTTTTTAGAAAATTGTTGCAACTAGATAAAATAGTTATATAACTTAAATTAAATAACCATCATGATACAAATAATCTTTTGCTTAATAGGTTTTTAGTTTCAATATATTATTTTAAATTCAGAGATATTGATTCGCTGTGAAAATTCAGAGATATAGATTCGCTGTGAAAAATTAGTTGTTGCCTAAGCGTAGATATAGATTCGCTCTATAAACTCGTTTATAGTATTGTTAAAGTATAGACATCTGACGTAAATAATCTGACGTTTACCAAATCTGACGTTTTTGCATTAAATTAGAACTCATATACATATTTCCCGGGGAATCTATAGAATTAGAATGAAAAGCGTATTATGAAGTTGTGAAACTTATAATGGAAATCAAATAAGGATTAATTGTGGTTTTTTTTTACCAAAAATAAAATGAAAAATCTAAGTTAGATTTTGAAGTATGTGGAGCTTCTGGTCCAAACTTCTAAGGGAAGCTTTTTCATCATCAAAAGCTTTTTGCGAAAGTAAATTGTCATTGAAATACTTAAGGCGCATGCAAATTTCAATGAACCCAAGCAATATACATATGATATCTACAGATACTTTGATATTTTTAGGTATGTGTGGTTAAAGTTTTCCCACACTTTTGCTAGTTGCTTTTTTTAACAATATATACTTTTATTAACAATTTTTCGTGTAATTCACAATTTTGTTAGTTTTGTTGTTGTGTTGAGTCGCTTTTTCTACAAAAGGTGTCAACAGTTGCAAACAATGGGTATGAAGAAAATATATACATACCCGTATATATAAGAGTAGATATATATCTATATATAAATTTCTACCAGAGCTGTATGTTGTCAAGCAGGTTGGCGCCTCCATTAGGCTAAGCTTTTGAATGCCCAATTAATTATGTTGGTCACACGCTCTACACTCTGGCTTTTCACGGTCGTTTACAAGTCGGGCCTTTGGGCAACGCCAGTGGCTTCACATTTTACATTTTAAAGTTATTCAGGTTCGTGTTTCGCTGCAAGCTAGAAATGAAATGAATCGAAACGAAACGAAACGAAATGCGTGCAAGTGGCAGATAGTGGCAGGGAAGTTCGCTGCTTAAGTCTTTTGTTTTGAAAGCGCTACTTGTACTTTCTTTCGAACTTCAGTTATTAATCATCGCATCCCACATTCATTTTTCTGCATTGGGCTGAGTTGCTGGCTTGGTCAAGGATTTCTATTGAATAACCACAAGTTCACCTTTGGAGTTTCCGCCGACAACTCTATTGAGCACAACAATTAATAATAACTTGGGCTGTTTATGCGTTTCTTCAATTTGCTCACTTTCCGTACACACTTCACACTAAAAGCATACAACAAATTTGCATTTTAAGTAGGCCATCATGCTTGGGGTAAACCGACGCACAAACATGAATCACACATATCGGCGCAAAATAAAAAAATCATTGAACTGTTGGTACTCCATAAAGTGGCGGGACGTCGCGACGATTCGAAAAAACAAAACACAAAATATAGCAACATGTCACAAACACACGAAGGTTGCGCAAATTTTGGCTTGTCATATTGGGGGGAATACCTGAGCAGTGGACGGGCCTATCTGCATATGCGTGTGGGTGTGGTCTTTAGGTTGTTTAGGAGTGTACTTAGAGGTCTAAAAGTAATTACTGTTCAGTTTTCAGGGTTAATGGGAAGGGTCTAACAAATGTAAATGGAGTTATATGGAAACTGTGCTAATGGTAAAATAAATAGTTAGGAAAGAACAAAATAAATATAAAATAAGGTCGGTGCAGATTGCAAGACTTTTTCTGTAAATGAACAACGAGTTCTTTTTGTGATTTTTAATACGTTTTAAGACTATATTTTCCCGCACACTGAAAGCTTGTTTTGGCAACCAAAAGATAAATTGATTTACATTAGCTTACAGCAGTTCCCCCTATTTTCTATTTGAGCCCGCAAATAAAGTCCAACAACTTTTAAGTAAATGATTTTAACTAAGAATATAGAGCTTGCTGGTTTTGAAAATCAATTCATTTCTATTGGTAATTGCATATTTCATTTAGAAGCTTTTAATGTAACAATGTATATATTTTTTAAAAACAGCTGCCTTTCCAGAGAGACTAGGAATACCTATGTATGTTTCTTTCAAGTGTAAAAGTTAATTATTTTGAAATTAGGAAATTATTCCAAATATTTGAATAATTTTAAATCAAATGTTTTTGCCATTAAACACTTAGTTGTTAGTATTTTAAATTACTTTTAAAATAAGAAGTTTTTATTGCAGACGCAATGGTTGTTCATGCTATAATTGTGCACTTCATGACAGCGGGCGCGACACATGCGCCAAAGAAAGTAAAAACCCCGTCGTGGTTCGAAGCGTGGCCAAAAAGCCGCCGCTCTGTCGCGTTGCCTGCACAAACCAAAGCGAAATGCCAGCAACAACAACAACAACAATAAAGCCAACACACACATACAATACAAGAAAGAAAAAAAAAGCCCACAGTCAAAGCTGCGCCTGCCAGTGACGAACAATATTGTCTTGTGTTGCCGTCTTTCTGTCTGTCTTTGTGTCCGCTGTCTGTGTCGTTTTGTCTTTTGCATTTTCAGTTTCAATTTCAGTCGAATTCGGGCATCAGCGGCATACGGAAGCAGCCGCGGCGCAAGCGCACAACAAACTTCAAAAACGAACAACAACAAACAAAGTGCAACATAATAAAAAATTGAAAATAAATAAAACCCCACATGCGTTTGGAATGCAATTGCACTTAAGCTTTATTTGCTTTGCGCTTTTTCCAAAATATTTTTAAACGGCGCGCGAAACACGATACACGAAACAAAAAGTGAAATTTCTGTTGAATATTTTGCGCAACTCGTGTCGATTTCGCAATAAAATAAATAAATAAATAAACAAGCAATCAGCTGAAGCAAATAAATAAATATTACAGCATTTAATTAGAGCGCACCAGTGATAAGAAAACAAATACATTAACAACAACAAATTACAACAATTGTTCGGCTATATAAAAGAAACAACAGAAATATATTTAAATCAGCAGCCAAATCAATGTTATAACGCCGCAGCTTTTAACACTTTCATTTTCATTTGAGACGTCGGTCGCACTGTCGAAGCTTTCGTCGAGTTGCTCGCCGCTTCGTTAAGTGTCGTCAAGTGTGCGTCTGTGTATTAAATAATAAACAAAACGCAATCCAAACGAAACGAAACGCGCCGAGCCCTTCAACCAAGTCGTTGCATTTCTACATTTTTTTTGTGCAATCTGCAAATGTTCGGCTTTGTTTGAGCAATAAATTTACAGTTGTCTTTCTTTAAACAAAACATAAACACCAAATAAAATGCATCTAACTGCATATTTATTGTGCTTAGGTTCGTATACACACATCCATACTTAACATACATTTGTAATTAACCCACTTTCTTGAACTGGTTTAGTTTTAAAAAGTCACTATTTTGCAATCCAATCAACAAATTGGTGCTAATAACAACAATAAGTCGCATTTTGTATAAATTGTTGTTTTCATTTTGTTGACGTAAAAACAAAAAACAAAAGACTTGGGCAACGAACTTGCTGGTGACTCAACCTTAAGTGATTTGAGATTAAAGTAAATTTTTGTGATCGAAAAAACTTTTACGTCTGTGAAAAAGCCTTTACGAGAAATTGGAATTATAAATAAAATTATAATACAAATGAAATACAAGAAACACAATAAAATCTAATTAGCTAAAAGGAATAAAAATGCAAATAACAATCATTATATTTAAATAAAATACTAAAATACAATAAAGCTAAAAATAAATAAAATAAATATATAATTAAAATGAAAATAAATTAATTATAAATAAAAAGCTAAGAAAATGCAAATAAATGTAACTGACAAATATTTATTGATTGGCCAGATTTCGTTGGCTGTTTAACAACTTTCTTCAGTTGAATATGATATAAATATTTGGAATTCTATTTCTTTGGTTCATTTAATTTTTAATGATGAAACCTGACAGAGTAGATCTGATAAATAACTCTTAATTGTATATTTTGAATCATCATAAATGTTCATTTTAGTTATTCTTTTTAAAGCATTTTATAGTGCATTCCTCTTTTAATTTAAAAAGTTCATCTATCGTTTATCAGTGTAGCATATTACTTTTCTATTCACTTTATTCTTTGAGTAAATTAAAATTTTATATAATAAATTTAAATCAGTGAAAAGTTCAATAAATTAATAATTATAGAAAATTAACATTAGAAATTTTACATTATTTTTCTATTCAGTTTATGTTTGTTTTTTTTCTTTTAGAAGTAAATAATTTTTTTAAGCATTTTTAATTTATTTGTTATTGTCAATTGTGTTACTAATTGATGCAAATATTTGTACATATAATTATATACATAATAATAATAAGGAAAAGAAGAGCTTTTTCTTCATTGTAAAAACGAAACAAGCGGCAAAATTAGTTTCTGACCTATGTAATTACCAAAATTTAAACAAGTGACAGAATTAATTGAACTGCGGCTTATGCAAAAAAAATGCCTTTCCAGCCGCTTTAGTTACAATAAAATTTTGCGTTTTGGGCCCTAGCTAGAAACTGGTTGGCGGTAAAAGTGAAACCTTCGACTCAAGTTCACGCTAAAATTCGGCAGTTCATTTTTGTTTTAAATGAATGCGCCAAATTAAATGCAAAATACAAAAAAATAAAATAAAACCAAATTGAAATGAAAGAAACAAAAACGTGACTAAGTCTGCAACTTTCTTTGGCGAATGCAACTTCCTCTATATGACGTCACAGTTAGCAAGAGCAGCAACAACATCTTGGCTGACCAAGGCCAAAATAATTGCCAGGAAGCCAAAGCCAAAGCCACAGCCACAGCCACATTCGATTTGTTGTTGTTTGTGATTAGCAGCTGTTCGTTGCTGCTGTTGCTACTGGCATGGCCAAGAGCCAAGAGACGCTTTACTGTTATTACTGTTAGCATTGCCGTTTACTTTTGGCCAAGTGTTTTGCTATTACAGCAACATCGGGCATACACATATGTGTATAGTTTTGTATATATTAGTAGTATATATATACGTATGTGATGGGCCTCTATTATGCAACTACAAAGATACAAATAAAAGTGTTCGCGTCGCACTTAAACGCGTTTTCCAAAGCTAAGCCAATTGCACAGCCCCGACGGGTTGTGGCAAGAGACTCTTGTCGTTGTCAACATCGTTGTTGTTGTTGCTGTTGGTCTTATGGTTTATGGCATGCGACCATGAAGTGTACAATTTTATGTTGTCGCTAGCTTCGGAAGTTATAGCAGCTCTTGATTTTATTATCGTCATGACATCTCCATCTCCAGCTCCACAGCCATCTCTTCATCTTTTCACTTTCGTTAAATGCACGAACAGCTGCTTGATTTCTTGGCCAAGTCTGGCTTAGGCTGGCGGGTGTTTTTTTTAAATATTTAATTTTTTTTGTAACTTTGTGGAAAATTTCGTACAAGACTTTGAGAAATTGCGTGAGGTTCGTTTACATTTTCTGTAAACGCCTTTCAAAAAAGACTGGAAAATGCTTTTGTATTTAGATAAGGAAACAATAAAATACATACAAGTATAAACAAATCTCTAAGCAATAGAAAGATGGCTTAAAAGTTTTATGAAATAATGGAACAATTTTTACTTTTGTAATCAAATCAAAGATAGACAAATAGTTTGACAGGCAGTTGCGGAGTCAATTGGTACAATTAAATGTTTAGGAAATATTAGCACCTTGTTTTTTAAATATTTGTTGACACCTTTTTCATCATCAGCATATATCGACGTATTGTTTGTTTTGAATATTCCCATGAAATAAAAGTTTACCTGGACACCCATTTATGCTTTCTAGTAGTAGGAAACTTCATAGAAAATTTATTCCATCTGCATCACGATTGTACCTATTCCAATAATTCCTGCAGATTTTTTAATAAATCAATAAAATCAATTAATCGACGAGTTATTTTAAATTCAAGATTGATAACTGGTTAGAATTGGTGGAAGAAAACGACTTAAGTTTGACTTTTTTGATTCAAAATTTGGTTACAACTTGTGAATAAAATTGTCATGGACATAGAGTTAAAAAATAGATTACTGCTATTGTAATCAATTTTATCTCCGATATGAAAGCTAAGAAGAGCTTTTTTATTTGCATTGAAACGTTTTTGAACACAATTTCCATTCCAATGGTTCTGACACAAATAAAATGCCATTCATGTTAAAGACCATTTTTCTTCACTCTTTGTAGCCATAAATACTTAATTGATTTCTAAATTGTTCGAAAGTGTGTCACATGCCACAATAAACTGCTTACCAAGCTGACAAAAAAAAAGTTGCTTTTGTCAAATTCACTCCAATTTCACACAAAAATCACTTTTCATACGAAATCGGCACATAGCTATCATTATAATTTCAATATGCGAGTATGTATATAAAAGCCTATTGCCATAATTGGACAACATTTCATTGTTTGCAGAGTGGAGCGCCCAAAAAAAAGTGAAAAATAAAAATAAAACTATTGCTATATGCAACCATTTTATTCGGATTTTATTTTATTTTTTTGTTATGGGCAATTTTGTTTTTCAAGTGAAAGTGACAAAGTTGCAGTGCACACACACATATATACATATTATCCAAAGAGGGCTCGTTAAATGTTAATGAGGCTACACACGATCGGAGCAGCTGCAGGCGTTAAAATTGTAGCAGGCCTGAGACTGGAGCCGATCAGCCTGGGACTGCGGATAATCAATTTACTTAATTAAAGTGAAATCTTAAGCTGCGACCTTGAGCGGCAGGCACGCTGGAAGGCGGGCAAGAATATGCAGATGAGTTGCGAGCTTAAAGAAAGCCAGTCATTAAGACGCAGCAGCGACTTAAAGCCGAAATCAAAGCAATATTATGTCACCAGCCAGCCAGCCGGTCATCCAGCCAGAGCGTGCAATCTTGTGGAGCAAACAAATAAACATTAAACGCTTCAGTTGTAAAAATTGGCGGATACGCCAGCCCGACATACTTTCTCGTTCGTTTTGGAGTTACACAGAGTGCGCAAGAGCTGAAGCGGGTGGTGTGAGACAGTTGTGGAGAGAGGGAGAGGGAGAGGGGGAGAGAGGGAGCGGGGTATATGCACATACGCGAAGTAACGCAGTCGGGTGCGTAATGGCCAATTTGTAGCATGACGTGAATAGATTACCCAACCGGGGGCAACGCTTTGCATAAGTCATAAGAGTAGTAGCTGGAAATTGTTAGTTGTTGGTCGCTGCTCGTAGTGAGTTGGTTAGCTAAGGTCAGTTAACAGTTGGGCCATGACATGAGCAAAGTAAGGGCATTCACACTGTATTTAAACGTAATTGCATAAAACAAGAAATGGAAATGTCTAAAAAAAATTCATTTTAAATATTTTAAAAATTAGGAAAATTAATCAACAAATTTTATTGCAAGTATAACTAAGGGAACACTCTTATCTATTTTCTTCTGATTCAAAGCAAAATTGTTTTACTTCCACTGTTTTTAATTAATTTTTTCCACCATTTCACCCCATTTGTGGGTTGAATTTTGCAAGAAACTATCTTGCATTGGGAAATTGCAATAGCATCACGTCGTATCAACCTGACATCGTTCCTTATCGATGGTCATTGGATAAGTGAAATGTTCATCACCACCAGCACCTGACTAAAAAAAAGAAGCACTTCCTTATTGTCTCTTCTTTATATGTAGCTCATGAATAATAAGTTCCAACACATTTAATCAAGTAAACTTCATATAGTATTTTAAGAAAATGTTGTTTAGCCCAATACACCATATATTGTCATCAAATCTTGCTTAAGACTAAAGCTTTTTGTTTTTTGAAGCACACCCGTATTTCTTTATATGAACCTCATTGGTTTGAGACTTCAACACAGTTAATGAAGGAAATTGCAGATATGTAGTATTTAGAGGAAAAGTTTTGTACCACAAAACTCGATCGATAATGGTCTTTAAATCCAGCTTAAGACTAAAGTTTGTTATTTTCGCAGCTTCTCGTTAATCTCGTATTTGCGGTTTGAATTTCGGTGACTTTGAAGGCGTAATTCAACATAAAAATAGAATTTAAATGATTTTTAAAAGCAACTTTTTCTCGATAAGTCAGGTTAATCGAGGTTTTTCCATTAAAATATTTCTGAAATTCAAAGACAAACCAATTTCGGTCTAATTTATATACTATTATTATGCTTATAAGAATATGTATATGTTTTCTTTAGTCAGGGCGTTGGGAAAGTTCTAGTAGAGAACTTGAATTTTTCATAAATTTAACTTCTTTTATAAAATAAAGGTGACTCACCTAGACTAGATATGTTTTACTTTAATATTATCTGAAATGGAAAGGATGAAGTAAATTACTAAAAAATAATAATAAATACATATAATATTGTGACTAACATTATTGTGTAAAAAAAAAACTTTTTATACAAAAAAAAAAACACAATTTTAATCAACATTGAATATTTTCTTCAAATATGAAATCATTATTTGAAAAAACATGTAATTTATTTATTTTTCTTAAATATTAATTTAAAATTTGTTCCCTTAAAATTTTGGATTAAAAGCTATTTATTTATTTTATTTTGTTCCTTATTTTTAATTAAAGCAAAAAAAAAATGTAAAGACGCCATTCCGCTTTATATTTTGGGGTTTATAAAATATTTTCATTTTCATAATTTTCTGATTGTAAAATCATCTTAAAAATATTTTTCGGTTATTCCTTTGTTTAAAGTTACACCCAAACCTAATTATACAAATTTCATTGTTTTTTTTTTTTTGCCAATTTTTAGCGCTTAGCGGCTGCGCCCTGATGCTACAGACCCAAGCCGCTGCTTATGATGAGGACTACGGAGATTATGATGAGCCGCGTCATCTGAGAAACGATGGTAAGTGGCTGCTGCAGAAGCTTGTGTTTAATTAACGTGACATTCATAACTTTAACTTTTAAGGCAGCGTCTTTCTTTCAGCCGCATTTGCATGACGCCCGTCGCATGGGACGTCAACAGCAACTGGGCTCATCGGCCAGCGTGGAGTCGCAGTCGACCAGCAGTTTGTCCGTGGATGATGACGACGATGGCGTCGAAGGCTCCAGCGAGTACTATGATGACAGCGAAGACGAGGGGGATGAGGAGAGTGCCACCAGCGAGAGTGCCAGCGATGAATCGCTGCCACGTCTGCTCTCACAATCCGCCTTCCATCGCATATCCGAGACCCTGGGAGCCCTCAACACAGTCGGCCATATGTTGGTGGACATGACGCGTGGGGGTCAGGACAGCAAGACAGAGAATGGCAGTAGTGCTGAGACGGCCTCGAGCAGCAGCTCGACCAGCTCCACCAGCACGACGGAACGTACGCCCTCCACAGAGGTGATATCGGGCAAAATATTGGACACGAAGAGGACACTTTCTGCGAATAGTTTGCTGCCAGCTGGCAAGCCCGCGAATCTGAGTGCCATTCAGGTGGCTACGAAGCGCATTGGACAGGAGGAGCCGCTGCAGAAGCCCATGTTTGTGGAGAACAAGGAGTTGAAGCAAAAGCGCAAGAAGAAGAAGAACAAGAACAAGCAGAAGATAAAGAAACCCAACGAACAGACAGAGGTGATTACAGCAACTCAGTCGCAGTCGCAGTCTCAACAGAAGATCAAAATTCCCACCACATTGCGCACCACCACCACCACAACAACAACAAGAAGTCCAACCACAAGCACCACACTGCGTCCACTCGATCAGCTGGCCTTGGCGAGCGACGATGCCGGCACGGCCAAGGATGTGGAGAATTATTGCAAAACCCCCAGCGGTCGACCCGGCCGTTGTGAGGATCTCAGCAGCTGTCCGGCTCTGCTGCTAAATCTGAGCAGCCTGCGTGAGTCGCTTTGCTTCAAGAGCCTGTTTGTGCCCGGAGTTTGTTGTCCGCTCAGCGCGGCCGCCACAGCTACAGAGAGCTCCACGCCGTTGACCACACAGCGACCCCTGAAGCTCACCACCAAGCCACCCGTCACATTGGCCACCACTAAGCGACCCACCCTGCGTCCTACAGTGCGACCGACAGCCGGCTTGGTGCTCATACCTCAGGCGAAGCCCTCGACTACGACCACAAGCACCACAACAGAAGCACCACTCGAGCCGGAGGGCTTGGACGATATAGCCAATAACATTGTCGATCCGGAGGAGTGCGGACAACAGGAATACTCTACAGGTCGCATTGTTGGCGGCGTGGAGGCGCCCAACGGCCAGTGGCCCTGGATGGCGGCCATTTTCTTGCACGGACCCAAACGCACGGAGTTTTGGTGTGGTGGCTCCCTCATTGGAACGAAGTACATACTGACGGCGGCGCATTGCACCCGAGATTCCAGGCAGAAACCGTAAGTGTGATGGGCCGAGGCTAAATTACTAATGTTTAATGGCTTTGATTCATGATTCATATTTCAAGTCGATTAATAGCTAGAAAGCAGATTCTTTTCCAAAATGCAATCATGAAAGAAAGCAATCAAATAGAAAATAAAAGACCAAAATCGCGTTCAAATAGGGAGTTCTTATAACTAACACTAAAGTCTTCTATTGAGTATAAATTTTGGTATATCCGAAATGTCGTATGCTATGATCAGACTTTCTTTGAAATGAATGCCCTGAAAAATAAATCTAAAACTGATTTATGGAAGCAGAAAATTGCTTTGTGTACGTCGTTGTTATTCCTTTTTAGTGAAATACCTTGGCCTTTATATTAAACCGGTGAAATGAAACAAAATTATTTTATATTCATATGAGGTTTTTAAAAAAGATATATTTTTAATAAGAAAAGCACAATTTTTCTCTAATGAGGGTTGAAATTTCTTCAAGTTTATTAAAATGAGGAACAATTTTTGAAAATACAGATTTTTCTTTTATTTACTTTAAGCCAAAAGCTTTTTAAAATTGTGCTCTATGAAAACACTTTTTGGTTTTTTAAACTTAAGATTTTTAAAAATAATGTGATTGAGCGTTCCTTATAGTTTAGTTTTTAAGAAAAGTTGATAGAAATACTCTGGAAAAAAATATTCAAAAATATATAATATTAGTTTGAAGCCTAATTATAAATATTTTTAATTCTTTGTGGCGGAGGGAGTGGTTTTGATTTATCCTGCAAGATTTTGTCTTAATTAAGAAATATATACCAAATCCAAATACATTTACTCAGAAGATGATATTTCTACTGCAGCCTGACTGATATTTCTCATTAGGGCTGTAAATAAAGTACAAAACATTGATGTTTCGCACTATCGATCTATCGTCAAGTGCCATCGATTGTACTTCGATACATCGCAACGAAACATCGATTCATCGATAATTTTCATTCTCATACAAATTTTTAAAGGCACAGTTGTTAAGAAAAGTATTTTCAATATTACTGCATAACAAAACACGAGTAATACAATAAACAATGAATATTTATTCATGTAATTCTTATTGATATTATTTAGTTATTAACTATTGCTTTGAAGTTATTCTGCAATGAAACAATTTATCCATTTCATTTGGTATACATATGTACATAAATTTATCACAATAAACGCAATATTTAATGGTGGGATATACAAATATCTATGAGGGTTAAAGTAATCATAGCCTTTGCACAATAAACAATGAATATTTATTCATGTAATTCTTATTGATATTATTTAGTTATTAACTATTGCTTTGAAGTTATTCTGCAATGAAACAATTTATCCATTTCATTTGGTATACATATGTACATAAATTTATCACAATAAACGCAATATTTAATGGTGGGATATACAAATATCTATAAGGGTTAAAGTAATCATAGCCTTTGCATTTTTTTAAATTAATTAAAGCTTTTACTTTGGAATTACTTACGTTTATTATTTTATATGTTTTTGGTAATGGTGTCAAATTTATGTTTAAATTAGACTGTTGCTTCTTCCACTAAATTCCGTTTTCTTTCGAATTCCATAAATAATATAGATGTTACGCTTTCGATGTTTTTGTCTAAACATCGTTGATTGTCGATGTATCGCTTTAAAAAAAACATCGGAAAAATCCAGTATTCATTATCAAAACATCTACGATGTCAAAAAAATCGATGTTTTTTTTTTACAACCCTAGTGCCTATAGAACGATGTGTAGTAGTTGTGATTCGATTCTGAGCTCTCACTTACTTTTGTTGTTGTTGGTACAAATTAAAATATTGCTTTTCTTGTAAAACTCAAACTTTGACATGATACATTTGATTGATTGATTATTGGAAACATTGTTGCACATACTTGTACATATGTATGTATCTGCAGCTTTCAGACTGCAAATAAAACTAATTCTTTCTCAAATTCCCAAATTTTTGATAACTTAACTTTTCTCTTTACAGCTTTGCTGCTCGCCAGTTTACGGTGCGTTTGGGAGACATCGATCTTTCCACAGATGCGGAGCCCTCCGCGCCGGTTACTTTTGCCGTCAAGGAGGTGCGCACACATGAGCGGTAAATACATTCATCTGTCATATCTGTGCTAGTTAGTTATCATATTGTAACTGTTTCTAGATTTTCACGCATTGGCTTCTACAATGACATCGCGATTCTTGTGCTGGACAAGCCAGTGCGCAAGTCCAAATACGTGATACCGGTTTGTCTGCCGCGTGGTGCCCGTATGCCGCCCAAGGAGCGTCTGCCCGGACGCCGAGCCACCGTTGTCGGCTGGGGCACCACCTATTACGGCGGCAAGGAGTCGACGAGTCAGCGGCAGGCCGAGCTGCCCATTTGGCGCAATGAGGATTGCGATCGCAGCTACTTCCAGCCCATCAATGAGAACTTCATTTGTGCAGGCTACTCGGATGGCGGTGTAGATGCGTGTCAGGTAAGATTATTTCTCCTTAAAGTAATCCTTTCACACAAGTATTATTAAGATGATAGCGAGCCAAATATATTTGTGTTAGAAGGAACTTGCCAGGCGCCAATTGAATTATTTAAGATTTTTAAAATTTCAAACATTTCTGAAACTCCTTATTTAATTACAGGGTGACTCCGGCGGTCCACTTATGATGCGTTACGACTCCCATTGGGTGCAGCTGGGTGTCGTATCGTTCGGCAATAAGTGTGGCGAGCCCGGCTATCCCGGCGTTTACACGCGTGTCACGGAATATTTGGACTGGATACGGGATCATACGAGGGATTGAGGTCGCACTGTTGGCTTGGGTTAGTTTTAACTGTTGCTAGGTTTATGTACTCGCTAGTCTATATACGATTAATATTTAAAAGTTGTAGGCAGCGCTCCTTTCTTACCTGACACTCCATGTTGAATACTACTTCAATTCTTTCTCTTTCTATATATATATGTCCGTATTTATTAATCCCCGAAAGACGTTGCAATCAAATTGTTTACCATATTAGTTTGTATGCGCTTTGTTATTTAAATTATTTAATACGTAAAATAAATGAACATTTATATTAACTAAAGGTTGCGATTGGCGTTTCTCTTCAAAAAAAAGGTAAAATAAATCAATTTTATTTTATAAAAATAAATCAATGTTATGCACAAAATGAATAAATAATTTTTATTATAAAAAAAAACTAAAAAAGTACCCATTGTTTGTACTTGACTTTTAAATAATTAGTTTTCACAAAAATGATGATAGTTCATAAACTTTATTTTATTTATGACTACACTTCAGATATACTATATATGGTAATATGTGATAAGTAAGGGCAGTTAATTCCACATGGAAGGATTACTCTCCATACACCCAGGAGAAGCACTTGCTGAATCATACGATCAGAAAGGATTGAAGGCATTACAACCAGAAACACCCATAAAGTAGATTTATTTCCTGCTGGCAATTCACAAATATAATTTAAAGTTGAAAAATTCAATAATTGCAGTAACACCTTTATTATTTCTAAAATGTCCCTTACTGTGGCGTGACTATTATCTAGTCTTGCTATGAATTGCAATTTCACGTTTATATCGATTGTAGCATAACACGAATTTAGCATGCAAATAAATAAAAGGGGCTATAAAAAAATTGAAATTTACACGTACTTCAATGATAATAATAATGCTTTATTGGAGGCAGGTGTTGAGTGCTTGAATTATAAAATCAAACAATCTCACTTATCACTTAAATTTCATGGGGAAGTTCCTATAAAAAATAATTACGATCCTTAAGGACAAAGAAAATGCGAAAGCAATGAAATTCAAATACGAATGACACCGACATATATTATTTCTTTACAATATATACGCAATATAAGTTTCACTCAAATTAAATTCAAAGTCAAATTTAACTCAATTTGTTATTAGTTTTCAGTTTTTAAGCACGTTTTCAAACAATCCTCCTTAGAATAAAACTCATTCGAGTTTGCACCACATCCACATCCTTTAATGATCCAGCTTACGCAGTTATTTGTTCGCATAATATACGACCACATGAACTTAAACAAGCTCGTACATAAACCACCAATCTTGCCATGCTGCATTGGAGGCGCTTTACATTTTTCTTTTAAAATGGAAATGTTAAATTTATTATTACCATTGCAAAGTGGTGGAAAACTATTGGTAACATCGATTATGTACGAGAACAAGTTGTCTTTCATATATTGTTAAGTTAGTTTTAAACTACGGAATACTAACTTTAAAAAAATCATTGATAACATAATAAGTTTTGTTAGTTAATATTATTAAAAAAAATGTAAAAACCCTTTGAACTATAAGACCAAAAAATATTCGGTTCACTCCACACATTCTAAAATTCTAAATTTGATCATGATCATTAAAGAAATGCAGTAAAATTCAAAACAGGTGACACCGATTATAAATATTATTTCTTTGCAATATCTGAATAACATTCTTGTACACAAAATAAATTGATCATGCCCAGACAAGCAGAAATCCAATTTATCTAAATTTTCCATTAGTTTTTCACATGTAAAGATTTTGTCAACCTTCTATAAAAGCTACGTACGATCCATCTCTCCCATCGAAATACCAAGCAATGCAACTAAAGCACAGAAAGCAACAACGTACTTCATTTCTTCTGCAGTGTCTGAATAAGAATGTTCTTAAAAGTCTAGCCATTTTAGACTTTTATCAAGATTTGCCTTGAAAGGCAATTTCACGTTTGTTTTGACTAAAACAACAAATTAACTATCCATAGTAGGAAAATATTTGAATTTCATGGATCATATCATATCAACCATTAAAAATTAGTTAATAATAAATTAGTACTTAGAATAATTAAATTAAATTAAATTAATTAAATTAAGAAAACAGAAATATTTTTACAAATTAGATTAGACATTATGTTACAAAAAGAATTCAAAATATATTTAAAGATTTCCTAAAATGAGTGTATCTTGAAAGTGGAAACGTAATTACCGGTACTTACTACTATGTGGAATTTGTTGAAAATCAATACAAACATAAGTACCAATGCACGCATGTTAATATAAGCAGATAATAATCTTATGTTATCTACAAGTTATCTGTCACTGTTGCATACGAATGTAAGCATAAAGAATATGTATAGCAAAAGTGTCAGTCTCCAATAAAACTCTAAAGCGAACAGACGCACGGCGGTCCGCGACTATTGTCTTTTACTTTACTCCTACTGAGCCCTTCCCTTTTCAGCGAATATATAATCTATTCAATAGGTTATGGGCCCAGGGCATATAGGCTCATAGGAGAAGTTCAAAGTATTGTGAAATAGTAATCGTTTGGTGACTCAAGAAATATAACATTTAAAAAATGAGTGCGCTATATCAAATAGACAAATTGGAAGAGCATAACTATGACTCATGGAGCATACAGATGCGATCTGTCTTAGTGCACGCGGAATTGTGGAGTGTGGCATCAGGTGCTGAACCTAGTAATACTGAGAGTTCAAGGCCAAAAGATGAAAAGGCATTAGCAATTATAACGCTAAGTGTAAAAGCTTCACAATTGGGCTTCATTAAAAATTGCAACACTTCGTACGAGGCATGGAAAAAGTTAAAGGACGTTCATCAGCCGAGTGGACCTGTACGGAAAGTGTCGCTGTACAAGAAATTGCTAGGCAAACGCATGTTTCAAGGCCAAAGCATTTCAAGTTACATACACGAATTTAACGAAATTCTGGATGGTTTGTGTACAGTTGGCATCGAATTAAATGATGAGTTAAAAACAATCGTGTTGTTGTCAAGCTTGCCCGAACCATACGAAAATTTTGTCGTCGCCATTGAGACGCGTGACAATTTACCGTCATTTGATGTGTTATGTATCAAGCTGATGGAAGAGGGAGAGCGCAGAGGCAATGCAGATGGAGAGAGCGAGAATGCAAGAGCATTTATAGCTACGCAGCAGATCGTCGCGCATTCCAAAGCGAATTCAAAAAGGAATTCAAAAATCGTCGTTTGCTACAACTGCGGCGAAAAAGGGCACTACAAGGCACAGTGCAAGCGTGAGAAAATTCGCGGTGAAGGGAAAAAGCAATCGACAAAGAAAGAGATGGAAAAGCAGAGCAGCTTGTTAAATGCGTTGGACGTTGGAAAGATAGAGAACAACATGTGGTGTCTGGACAGCGGAGCAACAAGCCATATGTGTTGCGATAAGACGTTATTTTCAAAATTTATTGCGCACACTGAAATGATCGGTTTAGCTGACGCTGGTTTCCTGAAGGCCGAAGGCAGAGGAGAGGTGAAGTTACAGACAGAACTTTGTACCTTGGTGTTGTCAGATGTACTGTATGTACCGAAAATGAATGGCAACTTTATGTCCGTCAGCCGGTCAGTGCAAAAGAACAATGTTATACATTTTGGGCCACATTTTGCTAAAGTTATACAAAACGGCGAGTGTATACTGAAAGCGAATAAAGTTGGGAACCTTTATATGTTTCAAGGCAAACAAAATAGGTGTTATTCCGCAACTGAATCAGATGGTACATTGTGGCATAAGCGTTATGGCCATTTAAATTTTACCAGTCTGAAGGAAGTGATCAGCAAAGAGCTAGTGCGTGGTATTGGAAAGGTTGTTTTCCCAGACAACTTGAATTGCAAAACGTGTATGCTAAGCAAAATACATGTACAGCCATTCCCAAAGGTAAGCACTAACCGTGCCGAAGAGCTGTTGGAACTGGTTCATGCTGATGTATGCGGCCCATTCGACACGAAGTCACTTGCTGGATCCAAATACTTTCTGACCTTCATCGATGACAAGTCCAGGCGTATATTTGTTTATTTTTTGCGGAAGAAAGATGAAGTGTTCAGTAAGTTCGTCGAATTTAAAAACTTGGTTGAACGGCAAACAGATAAAAAGCTCAAATGTATTCGAACCGACAATGGAGGCGAGTTTGTCAACACAACATTCAACGGTTTCCTGAAACACCATGGTATTGCAAGGCAATTGACCGTGGCTTATACTCCGCAGCAGAACGGCGTGGCGGAAAGAGCAAACCGGACATTAACGGAGATGTCCAGATGCTTATTGGTGCAGTCGGGCCTAGGCGAGTCTTTGTGGGCCGAAGCAGTCAACACAGCAGTATACATAAGAAACAGATCACCTACCAGTGCACTGAACAACCTGACTCCAATGGAAGCGTGGACAGGTAAGAAACCCTGTGTTAGCCATCTAAAAGTTTTTGGTTCCATTGCAGTTGCACTTGCAAAGGGTCCCCGTAAAGGCAAATTCAAACCCAAAGGGCATGAGTACCGTATGGTTGGGTATTCGGTAGCAGCCAAAGGCTATCGGTTATACGACCCAGAGACGAGGACGATTGTCGAAAAACGAGACATTCTATTTGATGAGCGTTGTGGTGGTCATACCAATGAAGATACCGTTACGGTAGATTTTCCTGCATGCGAGGTTCAAGAGCATGTCACTCACACGGATGGTGACAGAAGCATCGACGACGATGACAGTGAGCACAGTTCTGACGACAGCAGCTCCAACGCATATGAGAGTGCAGTCGAAAAAGAAGACTCTGACGAGGATACTGTGAAGATTGGGCCAGGCCGGCCTAAAATTGTTCGAAATGGTAAACCTGGTCGTCCAAGAAAGCAATACAATGTGCTTGGAGCATTGGTTGCTAGTGACGTAATGGTTCCGACATCCTATGATCAGGCCGTTGGTAGCACACATGCAGTATTCTGGCAAGAGGCGATGCAAAAGGAATATCAGGCACTACAATCAAACGAAACCTGGCAGATGGCTGATTTACCAAAAGATCAGCGAGCAGTTGGTTGCAAGTGGGTATACAGCCTGAAACGTGACTCTGATGGAAAAGTCGAACGTTTCAAGGCACGACTCGTTGCTAAAGGGTGCTCCCAGAAGTATGGCGTGAACTATGTAGAGACGTTCTCACCCGTTTGCAGATTGGAAACCGTGCGGTTTATTTTGGCGTTAGCAGCGGAATTGAAGCTGTACCTTCACCAGATAGATGTGTGTACCGCCTATTTGAATAGCGACCTGCATGAAACTGTTTATATGAAGCAGCCACAGGGATACACAGATCCCAATAATCCAAGTAAGGCTTTATTGCTTAAAAAGGCAATATATGGATTGAAGCAGTCGGGGCGCGAGTGGAACTCCAAGCTCGATTGTGTACTACAAGGCATAGATTTTGTAGCATGTGAAAATGAACCGTGTCTTTACAAAAGGAACGGAAGAGGTGACTTATCATTAATCCTTGTTTATGTTGATGATATAATTATAGCATGCCGATCAAAAGAGGACTTGGCCAACATCAAGTCAGCCATTACAACATCGTTTGAATGTGTTGACAAGGGAGAGCTGCATTTGTTCCTTGGCATGGAAGTGCAGCGCGACGGTGAGCTTGGCGAAATTTCGCTAAGCAATTCGCAATACATCAAAGACATATTGCGTGAACATGGATGCGAGACCTGTAGACCTACAGCGACCCCACTGGATGCTGGTTTCCAAGTGATATGTACCAGCGAGCATTGTCAAAAGGTTGACATTGCATCCTACCAGTCTTCAATTGGCGAGTTAATGTGGCTGGCGCTTACAACAAGGCCAGACATATTGCATTCCGTTGCCAAGTTAGCTCAACGGAATCAAGATCCGCATGCAGAGCACCTAGTGGGTGTAAAACATGTGCTTCGATACCTGGCGTCAACTGTGGACCTGAAGTTGCACTACAAAGAGTGTGGACAACCCCTTACCGGCTATGTGGATGCAGACTGGGGTGGCGACCGCATCGATCGCAAGTCGTATACTGGCTATGTATACTACTTGGCTGGAGGACCCATATCCTGGCGATCTGAAAAGCAACGCAGCGTGGCACTTAGCAGCACGGAGGCGGAGTATATGGCTCTTTCAACTGCGTGTAAGGAGGCCATATACCTACGGCGTCTTATAGTGGAGGTTGGCTGCGGTGACTCGAGTACTCCAACTATTCTTCATGGCGATAATTTAAGTGCTCAACAATTAGCTAAGAATCCTGTACACCATGAAAGAACAAAGCATATTGATATTAGATATCATTTTGCAAGACAGGTTGTAAACGAAGAACAAATTGTTTTACAGTATACATCAACCAATGAAATGATAGCTGATATTTTAACGAAAAATCTCCCTAAAGCGAAGCATGTTCATTTTACAAAGCTGTTAAATTTGATTTGAAAATTTTTGTAAAACATGTTTGCATTGAGGAAGGGTGTTGAAAATCAATACAAACATAAGTACCAATGCACGCATGTTAATATAAGCAGATAATAATCTTATGTTATCTACAAGTTATCTGTCACTGTTGCATACGAATGTAAGCATAAAGAATATGTATAGCAAAAGTGTCAGTCTCCAATAAAACTCTAAAGCGAACAGACGCACGGCGGTCCGCGACTATTGTCTTTTACTTTACTCCTACTGAGCCCTTCCCTTTTCAGCGAATATATAATCTATTCAATAGAATTATTGGATAGTTTTAATTATAAAATCAAGGTAAAACGATTATTATTCGTTAATCGTAAATTAAATTAAATTTTATCAGCATCATGAATCGGGCCTCCTCACACCTTATCTCATATCTCTAGTTATCCTAGTCTCTAGTTATCATATCTCTAGTTATCCATAGTTATCCTTTAAGGACTTTTACATGTTCCGAAATTAATATATGACTAAAAGGACGGCGGTTTTGCTAGAATCAGCATATGATCCGAAAAGGGGGCTAGGTTGAAGAATACAAGAGGAATTTGACAACAACAAAAATTGTATTTTATTTCTTCAATGAGCTTTATAATTTGTAATGACTAAAACGCATATTGATTTTACTCTCAACTCTGTTAAATTTACTATCGTTCTGAATACCAGGGTCCAATGCTCGTGCTCTTTGGTGAATTTTAACAATTAGTTTTAAAGGCGATTCACTGGAAAGTTATTTGTTCCAAAGCTCTGAATTTATTGCATATGAGAATTAATACTGAAACTAATTCGTTTTAGTTGTGAAGCATCCATAATGGAAGCAAATATGCTGCTAAAAGCTACTTTAGTTTTATAATAAATATTGATCTCAGTAGTAAACCAAGTGAAAAATCGATAAACAGCTTAATAAGCCATTCAGTCTTATTGCACATACACCACCGTCCATCATATTTTGCCCTGAAAAAATTGTAACAGAATGTTTTAAAATGAAGAAATACAAGTATGTAAATGTTTTACAACATTTTCTGGAAGAAACCCGATGTCAACAAATTAAATGGGCACAATTACGAGTAATTAGCTGCCAATTTAAAATCTTTGATAAATCTTAATGGCTTGCCAATAAAAATTGAAAAACATTCAAGTTCCATCATATAATATCAACGGAAGCCAATACATAAGATAAGCCCCTTCTGGCCACACTACCATGTCTACTACCATGTGCCAACAACAACTTGCTCCTCAAAAACATTTATGGGTTCAGTTCTCGCAAAGCTTTCTCAGCCACAACACGCGATTCTCGTTCTAGCCGGCAACCGGCACGCTTTTCTTTTCCATTCATTACGCAAATCGCTACCAAATCGCGTTGAATTTCGTCACCACAAGCTACCTTAAATCAGTATAAATAATTGTGAATGGTTTCCTACTAAAGATAAAGTTTATTTACTACAGCTATCAGCTATAATTAATTGTAATTTCCTCCCTGATAAGAATTTCTCATCAATTGTGCCGTCCAACATTCCGGCTGTTTTTGTTTATAACAACAATCTGCTCAGTGTGTGTGAGTGTGTATCGCGTGGTAAGTTCAATGTTGCTGTACTTTTGCTCCAAGAGAGCGAGAGAGGGAGAGAGAGCTTTCGTTTTTGAATGCGAGGGATAACTGAATAGTTTCTAGTAATGGAATAAACAGTTGGTCATAAAATATTTATTTATATACTGCTTAAAGATTTGTAAAATACTTTGAAGCCTTTTAAATAAAATCCACATTTACCAAAATTGAATCGCAGGAAATTATATATAGTATAATACTTGTATATTAACAATTTTAGTATAGTGTACTATACAAAAGGCGGAATAAAATTTTCAAAAATATGACAAACATTCCCACGTAGCTTCAGTGAGGCCATTAAAATAAAGGTTCTGGTTTTTTTAAGAAACACTTCTTTTGCAATCAATTTTTCAGCCTTCTTAAAACATATTGTTAGTCTGTGTAGAAGTTGTTCAAAAAAATGGTCATCATTAGTAATAACATTTGCATATCTGCTCTAAAATATTAGAAGTTAATTTTTTTTATACTCGTATACAATTGTTACTTAATTATTTTCTTTTAAATTAATATTTGAAATATATATAATATTTCGTATAAATATCATCTGGTCAGAGTGGAAAAATAAACTTAGGAACATTGGGATTTTAAAGATTTAGATGACAAAATTTCAAAATGAATTGAGATTTTAAAGATAAATACGTTAACATACCTAATTAATCTATTACTTTTAATATAAAAAGTCTTTGATTTAATACTTTTTGATAATTTATATATATACATAAATATTGAAATCCATATTTTTTTCGCATCCATTGAAAAACCCAACAAATTCTTTCAGTGTTAAAAACATTGCTAAACTTTAAGCTTCAAAAAAGCTGGGAAAGCACGCGTTGCAGCTTTTCGTGAAAGCTTTTAGATTGCCTTTTCTCGAAGAATATGGGAAAGCAAAAATCAACATAAAATAAATTATTACAAAAATTTTAAGAAGTTATTGAATGTTACAGCCTTAAAGCATATTGATGACTTAGATACAAACTTAAAAAATAAAGCACTTAAATTAAAAAAAGAAAAAAAGAAGTGCGTCGTCTGTTTCCGCCCGGGTTCGAACCGGGGACCTTGTGCGTGTGAAGCACACGTGATAACCGCTACACTACGGAAACTGTTGAAATCCAATTGGCCCAATGCTTATGTTGGAGTGAGCAACAAGTGGGCAGGCATGATTGGCTTGACTTGGCTGTTGATGTTGAATATTAAATAATTATTTTATGCTGCATAATTATTTTCAGTGTAGTGGGGATCCTACTTATAAATAATAATATTTGAGTTGAACATTTTGGCATCCATCCAATCATAGAAACATCATAATTGTTTTCATATAATCGATTAAAAATTAGGCTTTAATTTCTATTTTGGCTTTTTTATGGGCCAACGGAACTAACAAAAAAACTAAAACATTGTTAAGAAGGCAGCAGAATTATTTAAAGAACTTTTCACTTTATCAAAGAAGATCTTTGAAGACCGCAACAACAAATAAAACGACCAGAGTAAAGATTTACAAACTTGTTTATTTCTTTTTGTCTGCGTATTGATCTTTCAAAAGGTTTTGTTTAAGTTATGTTCAGATAACATATAAATTTTCGCTAATATTTAAAGTTTTACTGCTGAAACTTACAACCATATTTAGAAAACTGTTACATTTTTAATACAAATTAATACTGATATATGAATATCTTGTAATTTTAAACCAAAGAGTAATGGCTTACAACGCCACGGACGATGAAAACATTTCCTAACACGGGCAAACTTAAAGCATTGCAAAAAGATTATTAAGAAATATTATTTCATAAAATTTTGAGCAAGAAACTTTATTCATCGCTCATTTAGGACTAGGTTAAAAAGTAGAATCACTGAAGGCAGAGCTCACACGAGTGTTAAGTATTTGTTTGAATATTTTTCTCTGGAAATTTAATTTTATTTAAATTCCAATACATTCCAATACTCGTACATATGCCAGATTCGGCAATATTACTTAAGGCACGTTCGAGTTATCTGTTACAAACTTTCAAGATTCGATTTTTTAGTATAAACCAATTGAAAATGAATAGATGTGTTACTTACTATAGAGCCAACGAGATGTGGAACGATAAGTGTAATATTAAGAATGGTTATAATTCCAAAGTCAAGAAACACCACTTAAAGGTCGTCTAATTGTACATTTTTAGTCTTTGCCACTGATTAACTTTTATTTTACAGATTTAAAATGGTAAAGTCGTGACAGTCCAATACTTGAAAACATTGCACCCACACTTATTCCCAGCTATTATGAATTATTTTTACCATTTTTGATGAAACATCAGGATATTATGAGGGAGAATTTCTTAAAATATCTCTGCAAACAGAAAATCTATTCTACATGGAGCTAATTTTTACTGATCAGTGCTATGTAGCTATCAGATTAGAATAAGGCACTATAATCTGTCAGCAAATCGTCAAATTGATGTGCCGAGTATGCAGCTATTGATTAAGTTAGCTTCTCATTTCATAGGCTGCTTCTGGCTAAGGCTAAAGATGTTGTACTGAATGCTCAACTGGCCAGCTATTAACCCATTCTGTGTCTTAAATGTACGCCTTCGTCGTCATCTTCATCATCGCCTTCTGTCAATGTCGTTCTGTTCAACTGTTAATTAGCACCCTCACTCATCGATATCTCGTCCCTATGGCCACCCAACTGGCCCACTTTCAATGGTCCAATAAACGCAGAAGGCATGCGAAACATTTCTGCTGAAATGCCTGAAACATGCACACAGATTACCCAGCAATTCTAAAAGGGTCGGGGGTTCGGGGTTGACAAACAGACAACTAGTCCGGACCCGGACGCGGCTACGCTTAGTAACCCATCCATGGCAGCTACCTTTAAATAAATTTTGCGCACCCTGATCCTTGATTAAAATTCCTATTGTCTGCTGTTGGCGTTGCCTGCATAGATTTTCGCCTTGCCAGGCCAATGGCAATGGCATAGTGGGCCAATGGGCCATTGGGCCATCGCCTTCTTCAAATGGGCGCAATTAATATGCAGCACACTAACTGTTCCTAACTGCTCGCACTCGTTATAATTACGCATTTAAATTGGCACAAAGGTTGGAGGAGTGCGCCACGGCTGGAGGACACAAGAAAACTAGAAAGCTGTGAAAACCCAACTCTGACTCTGGCGGCTACACTAAGCGTTGGGGCGTCGACTCGTTTGTTGGCTCTACACGCAAAAAAAAGAGTTTTCTCGATTTTATAAAAAAAAAGCCGAAAATGGCCACAAAATGCGAAATTACTGTGATTCCTATACTAATTAAATAGTAAAATTTTTAAGATTATTTCAAATTAAAGTTGAATACTTATAAATAATAAGAAGAAGATGAAATAAGAAATGTAACTTAAATACATTTTAGTTAGTTAGGCGTTCATACTATCAAACATTTCAACATAATGAATAAGAAGCAATGAATCTAACCCATTATATGTTATAGGAGATATACCAAAAATCAAAGTACCCGGTTTTTTATAAATTTTTGTAGGCCTGGATTCCATGTTTTCCGAAATAGGCGGTCATACTGTCAAACAGTTGGACATGCAGTGAAACCAAACTCATTATTAATAAAAATAAAAAAATAATATAAACGAACTAATTTAATTAAAATCGGTTAGGTAATTTCGGAGATAGGTAGGATTTTATAACTAACCTATATTTAAAATCATAGCAAGGAACAGGAATATGTTGCTGAAACAATAAATAATAAATATCGAATTATATTAGGAATGTCTCTGAAATAATAGCGTATTTAAAACCATTATCCGAACATTAATTGCAAATAGAACGCAAATAGGCCAGTAGTGGAATAAATATCGAATTATGTTACAAATTCAAAACCGGAACTACGAGTATTAATACAATAAATATCGGAGCTGCTACTAGAGCCCTACTAATGAAATAATTCATTTCGTAAGCAGTAAAGATTTTTACTTTATAGAGAATACTTATAATTTTAATAAATTTTTCATATTTTCTTGCATCTTTTCTTTGTGTAAAAAGTGTACTTCTCTTCAAGCATTATGTGTCGTAGGTATGTTGTTTCTCTGAGTGTATAGATGTGCATGTATGTGTGTATATGTGTGTGGCCTATAAATTTGGGTCAATGGGAAAAATGTCAGAATTGAGTAATTACAACATAATTTTCAATTTTGCAGTTTACGTTGTAAATTAATTTGCGGTCAGACATTTGTGCATAGAGCGGACCGCAGAGGCAGTTCAGACATGTCGCTGGATAGGCCAAGAGCTGGCAGAGAGAAGGAGAGAGAAAGAGAGAAAGAGAGACAGAGAGAGAGAGAGAGAGAGGGCGTCTATGGGTGCAAGGGGTGGCTGTGGAGAGTCACAAACAAAACAACAATTATAACAACAATTAGTGGCAGCTGTAGGGTGCTTAATGCTTGGTCATTGTGTCCGTGCATGTGTCTTTGGGGGGTCGTCCTCAACGCCATTGTCGTCGTTGTCGTCGTAGTCGCCGTTTGTTGTGCATAATTAATTTGCAGTTATTTGGCGCGTGTTTTTTCTATGCGGCATATAGAGGGGGTGGGGCTGGGGGCTTGGGGCACAACGCAAAACTGTTTACGATTTTACAGTTGAACGCATTTTAATTGAATGAAATAAAAGACAAGCCAGTGTCAACGACACATGAGCCAGCAAGCTCTTTGGCACAGCTGTGACCAAATCAGCGTATATGTTTTTCTATGTATATACTAACATACAATGTATAAGTATGTGTGTAGTGTTGTGAGTGGTGGGGGTGTGTGCGTGTTATGGCTGACTGCTGGCTGTTCACAGCAAATATCAAACAGTAGCTAAAGCTGCAATAAAAAATTGACCCAAAAATGTGTAACAAATGTTGTGACATATTTTCACAGCCTTCCATTTCCACACACACACACCCACATACCCACCCATACAACTAAAGCCCGCCAATGATCCTGAAAAGCGTAAAAGG